CCTCAAAATAAACAGGTACCTGCGATCCAAACATCCCTACGCGGAAAATGTCAGATATTTAACAGAGAAAACGTGAAATCGTGAATGCTATGCTTCAGCGATTGGTCACGCGAACGCTGAAAGGCGCCGCGCGTTTCTCAGGTAACATCCTGAAAAGTTGTTGGGGAAAATGATCCTCGTTTCGCGATCGGTTCGCAGCCTTAAATATTGTGACTTTTACGTTGGTCACGGTTTCGACGCAAAATTGAACCGACCCTGGTAGTTTAGTTTCCAAAGGAGCCGAAATTTTGAAGGGAAACCGACTGGGCGTGACGAATTCTTTTCTGTTGGCATTGAATAGATTTTTAATACGAAGTGTATAATGCAATTAAAATTTTATCGTGAGCAATTAATTTGCAGAAGAAAACTTAAATGCAAATCATTTTGTGGCAAGTTGAGCGGAAAGAAAATAATGACGATCGTTTTCTTCGTTTCTAGATCATCGATCATCCGGTTCGTATCCGACGCTGAAAAAGAAGAAATCCTCGATCGTCGGGAAGAGCGTTAATATCTGGAAGAGCGACGGAAGCGGAGGTAACCCTGTTGGCTAAGAGTTTCAGCTTCTTGCTCGTCGCTTCGTCTAGGTTTCTAAGACGATCTAAAGAAGTGAATCCACCGATCGTGAGACTTGAAGTACTAATTTCACGTTTACTCAGAATTCAAGGAACAAGGTAACTAATTATAGTTTATATACTTGCATATCGTTTCATGCAAAATGGAACAAATCGCTACCTTGAAACGCAATTTATACTTCCATCGAAATAAACAACCAAGTAGCAGCCATTTGTGAGAAACCTTAGCGATGCTCTTACCTCTCTGTCCTCGATTCCGCAGAGAACTTTATCCAATAACGCGATTAATTGAATTTAGCATGATCGAAACTGCAATTCTATTTCGAAGAACCATTAGAAGAGACATACCTTGTAAAAAAGCAACACATTAATCCTCTCTTTCGTTCCTCTTTCTCCTCCAGCAGGATCATATTAATATTTATCAAGCATGTTTCCAAGGCGCAGTAAATATTCACGGTGGAGAGCGTACGATAATTTCATTGCTTAATTCGCCGGTACGAGAATCATGGCCCAGAGGGTGAGAAAAGGCAGCGCGGCCTCGCGCGTGTCCTCCGCGAAATCACGCTGCGAGCTCCGATCATCGAGGGTTAAACGTTCCATCGGTTTCGGCCGGCAGAAAAATATTACGTCTTCATGGACAACACCGTGGCCGAGTTGCCGGTATAATTTCGTCGTTAAACCTCGCCAATCTCACTGTCCCTCGTTCCCTGTAATCGTTTCATCCCTGCGCGCATACTGGGCCACTTATCGAGCATCACAACGACGAGGAGGAAAAAGGAAGAAGAAGATGAAGGCCGTCGATCGATCGATGATAATGATCCCGTTGATGATAGCTCGCTCGTTATTATACGCATCGCACGGTGGAAAGGAGAGGAGAAGAGGATTGATAGCGAGAGGGAAAGAGGTGAGATATACGTAAGGGAGAGGGATAAGAGGTGCGTTCGTGTTTTAAGACCTGGAAGCGATTGGTCGACGCCATTACTCACACCGTTTGCGCCTGCCACATGGCTCGATGGATCCTTTATTCTCTTCTTCTTTCTTCTCTTCCCCTTCATCTTTCTTCTGTATTTTCGACACGGTTTCAAGAAACAATTTTTAAATAACATTAGGTACGTTTAACGCGAAAATCAAGCCATCTTACGATCGTTAATTAACGTTTTATTATCTCTGACTAAGTACTTCCGCGTTCACCGCGGCAGACAACGTGTTAATTGCCTCCTGATCGGTCAAGTGGTTACAAGCGGAAGTTCGAAACGGATGCTCGTGAATCAAGAGACCGATCACGAACGGAAGAATGAACAAAAAAAAAAAAGAATGGAAAAAAATAGTAAAGAATGAAGAGGCTGACAGGAGGAGAAAGAGGAGGGAGAGAGGTCCATGGCAGCCGATCCGTCTCTGGCGTGTCTGATTGTTCCTTTAACGATCGGCTGACAGCGAAGACGTATGTCGGTGCCATCAGATAATGTGGGTCGGCGTCGATGTGTACGCGGACCGTGATACGCGTAAGCGTTTTGTAAACGCTTCGCACGTCCTCGTGGTCGGCGTTCGTTCGATGCGACATCTTCATAAACTCGTGCACAAAGAGACTGTCATCTCGCATCATGGCTCGGACCAGAGCTAAATAGGAACCTCTCCGCTACCCCTAGACTTTTATCAACGCAGGTTGATGAGAGACTGTTTTTTACATAAGGGATGAATAAAATTCCAAGTAAGTATATTTTATTTATTTAATCTTCTTTTACAGTAGAATGGTACACTTGAACTAAATAATGGCCCCCGGAAACTACCATAGCTTCTATAAAATATCCTCCAGAATTCTAAGAATGAATGGACAATTACGTTACCAACAGAAGTTGCCGAGTTTACACAAATTACTTGTTCCTTAAGTGACTTAATTAATCTAGGTGCTTAATTTTCCAACGCTTGAGTGCGTCAAAATGAAAACGGAAGTGAGCCTCGTAAACTGGAGGTTCATTAACGTTAATGGAACACTTGTTAGTCTTCTAAACACTTATTGCGATTCTTTTTTTTTTTTTTTCTTAACACGTTTTATTGTTAAGTGTCGTTTTTACTGTGACGTAGCGAATGGAAATTCGATTACTAGAGTTCAGCAGGTGTTTCCTTCCCGGTGCTCCTTTTATTACGTGACAATATTGCGAACACGCTTCTTTGTTGGCAATAAAGCGCCTTAAGATCCTTGCCAGATGTCACACGTAGGTAGCGTCATATACGAGACCGAAATCTCAAATATTAGCGGATTCTCGGTTGGATAGAGAGGATGGCACGTCCACGCTCTAATATCACGCTTTTTTCCACCCCCGCCTTTTGCTACTGTACGCCGTGACACGTGCGCGAAACGGCTTATAAAAGTTTCTGTAATACTTCCGCACTGACGGAAGTTGAATTGAAATAATAGATGAAAAGCTAGATCTTTAAAACAGTGAAAGAGTATAGACGACTTTAAAGTAATTAAAATTACCACTATTTCGGGAACATAACTTTTGCTTCCAAAGCTATCATTTGTAATTAAAATATAACACCAGTTTAATTTGTATAGCAGTAAAAGAAAATGTAAAATTACATTAAAGTAATTAATTTAATAAGCTGAAAATATTGTACAAATCTTCTTTTTATGTTTTTTTTTTTTATTTTATATCTTCGCACAATTTAAAAACAGTCCCACTTATGCTATATAGCAATGAGTGGCGAAGATAGGAAAATCAAAAATTGCTTTTTATCGAATGATAAACGATTTTAACAAGATAATATCGCTTGTAAAAGATTCGATGAGTGCAATAGAATCCTAATAATGATACCGCATTCAATTTGAGAGGTTTCAATTTTCCTGTAAAAAGTATGGGTCGCACATCTTAGCTTCGGGGTCCCTAACACCCCAAGATGATATTAGGTCGGTGCGCAGGAGTCGCCGGGTTCCCTGACACCCCACAATGATATCAGGTCGGTATCAACCCCCTGTGGCTCGGGGGGAGTAGAATACGGCCACGGTATCCCCTGCCTGTCGTAAGAGGCGACTAAAAGGGGGATGTAAAGGAGATTCTACGAAAACTGTATTGCGAATAAGAGCGAGACACAAAAGTATAGCATAGTGGACAGGATAAGAGACTCAAAAGTATAGGAAGGCAAAACAGGTTAAAGTTAAGATTAAAATTGCGCGTATAAAGTGTATAAAGTCCCTAAAGTACGGCACCCTCGCGAGAAATCAAATCATGTCATGTTAGGTCGGTATTTAGAGGGCGTCATTGGTGCAGCGGGGTCCCTGATACCCCTGGATGCAATTAGGTCCGTATGAAAAAGGCACAACTAGAATAATAATCGTCCTCTAATTTCTTTTCGGAGTTTATTTAATTTGCTTTACTTATTTTCTTTGCTTATTAAATAAGCTCATCGAAGGGAAATAACATTTATGATTGTATCCCTGTTCTGGGCCTCAGCCGAGGACCCCTTTTATTTCACTTGTTCCAGTTATTTATATAATTTTATCTCTCTTTATAGGCCAAGGCCACCCCTTTCAGTTATTAATTATTTTATCCTTCTTTATGGGCCAAGACCCACGCTCCCTAACTATTTATTATCCTACTCCTCTTTATAGAGCAAGGCCTCCCTTAGCAGATATTTATTTCTTCATTCTTTTTATAGTCCCCTCGCGGGGACTACCACTAAAATCGCTGTATCTCCGTATCCCTTGTTCATTTATAATGTTGAAATCAAAATTTTTAAATATGTCATTTGATGGCATTAAAAATGATCTGCCATCTAACAACTGAAAAGAGAATTTCGACTCCGTTTGATTCTATTTGTAAAAATCATTCAAAATCAACAAAAGACCGCAAAAGTATTAAACTAATTGTTTAACAAATTTAGATTTTAATAAAGTCCGCCGTAAATTAAATATTTTTAAAATTCGACCCCAGCGCCATCTCTTCAAAAGCGGCTCAAACTACTCGATAAGTTACCACCGATTTTCCGATACAGGATAACACAGCGGAAACTACTTATCGACTTACCGACAGCAGTCGGTAAATTATCAAATAGTTTCCGCCACTCTTTAATAGATGGCGCTAGTGCTCCCTTAGTTGTTACGAGACGTTCTCCCGCTCCTGTGAGGTGAAGGAGTGGGGAGATCGACGCAGCACGGCTGCGCTTACGCCGCAGTTCGTTCCCCGACGTCCGTGAGAGAAGGTCGGCGCTCGGCGCGTAGTCCGCAGCGAAGACACGTTCGTTCCTAATAAAGTAAAAGGTTAAATTGTTTTGACTAGGACTTATGGTTGTGTTTAATCTCACCCCCTTGGCTCCCACATAGTTGAATTATGTAATGTTAACGAATCTGATTTTTAATTGGTACGCTTATTAAATAACAAACAACAAACATAGTGTGACCTTAGTGTATTTATTTTGTTTCATGTGAATTATGTATATACATGTGGATTTGTTTGAGACAAGCATCACGGTCTCCGTGCGAACTCTGATCTCCTGGTATTCGAGCTTAACAATTCAATGTAATGAGACAAAAAGAAGGATGATGTTTTCCCTGATGATGCAGATGATAAAATAAATGACCTCACAACGCGAGCTACGACGTAGCGCACCCTATTTCTAAGCAGGTTCATCACATTGTCAATTCCTGAAACATACAGAACAGAGGCGTAAATTCTTGAATTTTACATGAAGCAATAATTTTAGCTATAAAGATAGCTTATCAGTCTGCCAAGGTGTTTTCAACAACATTTTCATTCTGATGATAAATGCGAAACCATTGCATCAATCATCATATCATACTTTCAGAAAGACTTGTTTAAACATTTCGTTTAAAAACTTACCATAATAGCATTGACAATATCATTTTGATTATTTTTGAGAGCTTTAATAGCCTTCCCTCGAGATACATTGGCTTGAGTCATTACTAAGTCAATATCCTTTTCTTCAACACCCGTTTCATCGACCTCTTCCTCCGATTCTTCCTGTATCGGCGCGACGACCTTGAAGATACCAATTTCAGATATTAAAAATTAGAATAAAATTGCCAATTAAAATAATAAAATAAAATATTTTACCGTAGTACTACCGCCAGCTTCAGTTGCTGGAATAACTGGTGGTTCTTTGAATTTCTCAGCTGCTGCTACCTGAGCTTGCTGACTAAGATCTTCAATCTACAAGAAAGAGTTTTATTAGTAATTGAAGATCATGAAATAATACTCTAAAAAATATTACTACTACTAAAAGTATCAGTCTGCCAAGGAATTTTTCTACAAAGTTTCTCAGCTTATATTATGCAAAACTATAAGGATCATCATTTATACAAAATACTAATTTTATTATATACAAATTTAACGTATAATTTAAAAATTTTACCTTTGCCTCACCAAATACTATGTAAGTATCTGATGCTGGATTCTTCAGTACATCTGGTTTGTTAATTACAAAGAGAATATTCTTTGATTTTCGAATAGTTACTCTGTTAACACCTTGAACCTACAAACAACAGAAAATAAATTATATTATACAATTATGTTTTAAACTCCTAATATATTGAATATGTAAAACATACAGGTTTTAATCCTAATTTGCTCATAAGCTTTCTTGCTTTTTTCTCCCCTCGACTTTGTTTTGCCTTAGAAACCATATCAATGGGAAGACCAGTGACAGTTGTCGCTGAGAAACCCACAGTGCCACCGGCACCTCCATCATCCAAATCTGGAAGGGTGTCATCCGAGTCTGAGTCAGTACCAGATCCTGCTGCTGTTGCTTCAACCTTGCTAGGTTCAGAGCTCGCAGCTTTGTCAAGTTCAGTTAATTCAGGCATGTTGATTGATCTACAACAGATGATTAAATCAGGTACTTCTTATATTTTAATATTCTTTATTACATACCACATACAGGTATATCTGATACATACAGAAATTTCCAAAATACAATTAATGCAAATTATTAACATTTAATATTTCCGTTTACATTTAATATATTTTACATTTTTAATTTAACTAAATCAGAACCATTCTACGGCAATTGATCGCACGTGTTTAATACCGGGTTAACAAAGTACGCCCCGCCTTAGAGTTTTGACCACAGTATAATCTAAAATACGCAGTTTAAGAAATATAAATAAAACACTGATAAAATGTATTGATAGTGTGAAAGTTTACTAATGAATATAAAATAATTGGACAGACAGAATAAACACTTATTCCACAATGATTATCACAAGACAAATGGACGTTGTTATGGCGCCCACTAAAGGTAGTCAAAAAATACTTGCGAAAATACCATCAGTAATATTCTTCATTACTTATGCTTAGCGATCACAGCACATTTATGGACTTTCTATTAGATACGAGCAACATGTTCTCTATTTCTCTGTATGCTTTATACGATGTTTTATATTGATATTATGCACAGTGAATTGTGCGAGTAAAAATCGTCGAGGCACAAACATTTCGTATGTTCACCGTTGACAATAGAACATATCACGCAATATGATTTGCACGGGAAATTACATTAGATTCTTCTTTCCCGATATTCGCGCTCTTTTACTATCGTTGCAAAACGATGTCGAAAAAATCGTTAGATTTACCTCAAACGATAATCCGTCGTCGAACGAGCACTATTTTTACCATGTAAACTGAGACCAATTCACACATGTGCCCGAACGAGCATAGGTTCATTACTTTTCCGAACGCAAGGCGCCAGTAAGCGCTTTGTTAAATCAGCACCCGCAATTGGCTACGTAAAGGGAGAAGGAAAGTATCATTGTTTTATGAAACTCATTCTCCTAATAAAAAATTATTTCATTTATTAAAAGTTCTACAATTCTCGCTATAAATTTATTCAATCATGAGACAAAAAAAGTACTAACATGTATCGTCATTAAAAATGTATATTTTCCGTAGTAATCATTAAAATGATTTTTTTTGCATCTCATAAATACAAAATATCAATTTATTTATATTTCGCACGCCATATTAAGTTTTTAAACATAAATAATTTAAAAGAAAATAGAATGTTTTAATTTTAATAGATAGTGAAAAGTAAAAACTAGCCAAAGCTATTGTATTTTTTAATAAACGCCGATTTTTTTTTTTTCTAATACATATATACATTGCTTTCGCTTGTAATAAATATTACTGAAACAGATAATACGTGTTACTATCACAACAATACTTATGTTAGAAAAGATTGCAATAAGAAACAGTTCAACGTACTACTTTCTTCTTTCTTTTTTTTTTCTTTTATACAAATTATGAATATAAAAAGTATTCATACCTTCTATAACGTAACATTAAACCAGTAATCGATCTAATGATATAGTGGAGCACTAAATCTGTGAGTTTACAAGACAACACAAATCTATTAAAAAGGAAAAACGAGAACATAAATTATTCGAGATTTAAATTGGTATAAGAAAAAAAATCAAATATCACGAAAAACAAAAAAAAGAGTAATTTTTTCTAATATAAATATACTAATGTCCACTATTGACGAGATAAGCAGTCTTGATTGAAACGCATTATTGACTACAATTTTCAACGTGGGCATTTTTATAATGCTTCAGATAATTTAAAATTTTTAGAAGAATAAACGATTTCTAAAAATTTGTCAATATATTATGAAATTTCACGATTTTGTAAGTAACGCGTAGATGAAGCAAAAATCTTATGGGAATTAATAAGATATCGTATTGATAATATCTTTTCTAAGTACTTTCGATCATTTTGCTTCATTCTGCAGTTACCCAAAATCCTAACAAGAGTTAGACAAGAACAATTTGGAATGATTTTTCATTCAAATATGAGAATATAGTATTCATATGGTTTCTGCAAATACTATATTACTATCTATTGTCGAGTATCATGTTATTTCCTTTCGCTTCCAAATTCTTGTTTGAGTAATATAGTATTTACGTTTTTGTTAAACATCTATACCTCTACATCTATGTACTACAATTGTAGTACGATTCATAACAAAAGGTTTTCTGTCACAAATTCCTTTGAAATGTGTTTGTGTTAGGAAAACGATTCGTCAACATCCATTTTCTCAACATTTTCTTCGGACTTATCCTCCTCTTTTGCATCAGACTTTGCAGCATCCGGTTCATCTGAGATTATAGTTACATATTACATTAAAACCATGTTATATTATAAACGTGTTTAATGACATCTCTTCTTACCACATTCATTTTCAACTGGTTTTTCAGTATGTTCAGGATCTTCCGGGATTTCGGTAGGTTTCTCAACTACTTCGATATCGGAATCTAAAATTATTTTTGTTAATGTTGATACCTGTTATGCCGTTTTTAATAAGTTAGGTATATCCAAACCTGTATCTGATGGGGTTGATTCAACTTGTGGAAGTTTCGAGTCTTCTGCGTTTGCGGTAGCAGAAATTTGATCAGGAGATGATAAATTATGAGTAAAAGTTACATCATATTCCAATTTTGGTGCAGAAGGTTTCTGTTTTCTTGCTGGATTCCAGAAGTTGCAATAACAACATCTGAATCCTATAACATAAAAGCATATATCTTACGCATTTAATACCTTAATTGAGTTTTATATTTATTTTGATAGATTATGATAAATGTTTACCAAAGTATTCAAACTCTTCTTTTAATGCCATTCCATTGTGCGATTCACAATGTCGGCAGATTAACGCATACCGATTTGATGGACCATCTCCCACTAAATAATCAATGAATCGATCTAAGTAATTCCTTTCACGTGGTAATACTGGACGAGGTAATGGTGATCCTGTTACATAATCAACTTTATAATTTATGTAATTTATCGGCACGCGTATATATCAAATAAAAAAAAGAATAACAAGATGGAATAATAATATTTAAAAAATAATTTTAATCCTAAAAATACTAACGATAACCCATGACCGGGGTATTAACTGGTCTAACACCACTCTGGAAAGGAGTACTTGATGGATTCTGAATGGGAGCCACGCCAATTGGGACAGGGCCAGTGTTAGTGGGCATACCACCTTGCACATTTAGAGGTTGATTTTGATTCGTTACTACTCTTCTTCGTAGTTCCCCAGAAGCAGGTATTGGGGATATTACATTTTGTGACATGCTAAATCGCTGAGGTGTTTCTTGTGATGGTGACACCTTGTAAGTTGGCTAAAATAAAAGTTTCCTTTCATCAAATTTTGCACCAATCTTTTGAAAATTATTTTTAATAACTTATTACACAAAAAGAAATGTTTACACCTGTATACAAATCGTGTTATAAGGGAATTATTTAATGTATATGAAATACAAACCTGTGGAGATAACTGTAAAATAAAGAAAAAAAAAATTAATAAAAATAGAAAAACATATTGCAATATGAACAAACTTATTAAAGTATATATAATTACTTTTTAAGTCACATTTACTTTTGTACTTACAGGAGTCATTCTTAATTGATCTGGAGCAAACTTCATTAAAATTTCTTTAGCTTTTTTATATGTTTCAGTTTCTGTAACCTCATCTAAGATTTTCCTTTTCTCTGATTGCATGGTACTTAATTTTTCTTGATTTTCAGAAATTTTACGTTTGTAATACCATGTAACCATCTTTTTTGTTAGCAAAATTCTGTGGGAATTATATATTTATTTCATATATAAATAACAAATAATTTTGTTTGAAGCAACAAACAAAATTTATATCGTACTTACAGAATTGGAAAAATTAACAATGGAATGATATAAAATATTTGATCATATAAAGATGCTGGGAAGAAATAAAAGTAAAAAATGAATGCTGTTACAATATAAAGTATAACACTATATAGAATCAATGTTCCAACAATTTTTTTATGTCTCTGTTCTGTAGTTTGCCCATATCTCTCTATTTCTTTAATTTTCTGTTAAAACAAAATTTGCAATGAATTTTGTAAATATTTCTCATAAATATATATTTTTTTAAATATCAATTTCTTACCATATCAAGATTTTCTAATATTTCAATAGTTGTTTTCTTTTTCTGAAATGTAAACAAAATTTTATCTTCATATAATAATAGTAGATATTATATTTTTTTTACATATTTCCAATCTAGACATGAAAGTTTTAAATAGCACTAATGCATAGTCATTGAATGGTAATTATGGAATGTATAATTATACTGTATAAATTATTAGTCAATTTTGATTAATCATTCAATATCAGAAATTTTAATCAGATTAATATAAATTTTGAACTATAAATCAAAGAGCACTGAACTTTACATATGATATGGTGTTCATAAAAAAATTACATACATAGTTTTCACTACCTATACTTTATTTAAAATCTTATTTTCGCGCCTAACCTCGAAAACCTGTCAATTGTGAATATATATGTTTATTTATATTTTATTTTAACATTAAAGAAACATAAGGTACAAGGTATAAATGGATTCTTAAAATAGTATGACATTATTCCTAACTGTATTATAAAAAAAAGTGCAATGTGGTAGAATGCTAACCTCTAAAAGATAAAATATTAATATTCATATAAGTAGCGATGTAAACTTACTCGAAATCTTGACAATATCATTCCCATGTTGCCGTTAAAATTTTAGTATTGGTCTCTGTAAACTGTAAAAATGAATTAAAGAAAATAAAACGGCTCGGACGTAAGGTGTCAAAACAAGAGTTTCGTACAATTTTAAAATAGCTTAGCCGGACGGTGTGTAGACGTAGTCGACCCAAATTTAAATTCTTCTCCGTTTTGTTGCGTTATTTATAGATCAAATCTTCTATAAACACTTTCCGAATTGTAATAACCAGAGATTTGACATCATGTTTGAAAAAAAATTGGTATTTTCTTTCGGCGCGCGGTGGACTTATACATCAGAATACGTCGATGAATCAACAGATGTTGAGGATTCTTTATTTCATTTGTCACTTTTATGTAGACAAACTAATAAAGTGTGTACAGAAATAATCTTGATTTTCACTAAAATCGTGTATTATCGAATTGCAACGATTAACACTTCATACTCGTTCTTACAAAGAATTAACCGGAATTGAAATACCGTTCCGTTTGAACCTGCAAACCGAACTGAGGCACAAGTCACCATTACTCATTATCAGTGACTACAAGTTCTGTAGTCACTGTCACTATGCATACAGCTCACTTTCTGTACATACATACCGATAAGGAAGAAATGCAATTAGCGAAATAAATATTAATTATAAATTTTCTTCAAACTGTTATTACAGCGACGAACATAATATTTATGCAGCTAGGTGTATAACGTTTTAGAAGATACATAAATAGAGCTGACGTGTTCTACTCAATTACCTATAGATCGATATTTTAATATTACTATTTTTATTCCATAGGAAAATATACGGCCTCCAAAACTATATATACATTAAAAAGTTAATTTTTATATTAAAATAATATTGAAATGTATAATTTTATTTGAATAGGTCTTCATGTTAGTCCTACACAAAAGAAATTAATTTATGTATTTTTCATTGTAATATGTCTATTACTTTTAACTGCTTTTATTGCCATTTCGATGCATTCGTTAATCAAAGGAATCGCTTGTTCAACAAGTGATATTTCCGAAGATGATATTTTAGGCAAACCAAAATTTTTCATCACCCCGCTTGTCCCAAACTGCAATTCAGTTGTAAAAAACCGACATACCGGTAATACGTTTGATCGTACATAAGCAGAAGAAATTATATTTTCAAATCCACTAAGTCCACCAGCAAGCATAAGAATTAATTTAGCAGCAGCCACGCCGTCAGACAATGATGGCCCTTTGGATCCATTATTTGCTATTTTTTTGTCAGCATTACGCAAAGACTGCAACAATATCTTTTGCTGTGCCTATAACGCAATGTTTGTCTATTACTACAAGCAGTGTTTGCTTCAGTAGGAAAATTTAATATAGATAATTGTATTTTCATACGATAGGGAATCCATTGATGGGACTAGCTCGTGATAAAAGCGGAACAATGCTATTCGAATCGGCTCCACCGACCATTGGAACCGATAAGAAAGCAGGATTCAAATCTAATAAATTCGCGGTAATCGCTTCCATTCGCATGCGATCGAGAGCAGTCGAACCAATGATCCTGTCTGGATCCCACCATCCAGAATATTTGTAGACCTCTGATACCATGGGAAGTGTAGCTGTAACCGGTTTAGCGAAAACGGCGACCAAAGAATTTGAATTGAATCGTACCATTTTCTCAGCCATTTCATGCACATACAGTGATGCAGCTTCAAACTGAGATATGATATTTAAATCTTTTGTATCTAGATTCGTTTCGTCCATTAATGCGATAATATTTGTCTAGATATTAATCATTTACAATAAAATGATATTAATAAATTTTGTATTTTAATTTCTATAGATGTATGAAATTTCGAAGAAAATCATAGTAATAACATACTTCTTTCAGAGCCTCTTTTAGATTCCTTCTTTTAAAATACTTTATACGAGTTGACGTATCGATATGATTCGCATCTAATACTGCACTCATTAATGAACCTTTTGTATCTACCAGATGTATTTGCTTTATCAAACGAGATTGTTTCAAAAGTACTGCTGCATAAATTGATGCATCACTGCCTCCAATTATAGCAACTTGTACATCACCTTTACGATCTGGCAGAAAATAATCCCAACCATCAAAATCTGGTTTCTTGGTGCTGCAAGCATCAGTTTTCTTTTCTAATTTTTTATCATTATTCTTGTCTTCTGTATTCTCAACTTTTTTATCACCAGTTGATATATTTGAAATGTCCCGGTAAAGGCAGCGCGATATGGATTTCTCGATAGGTTTCAAAAGGCATCGTTGTATTACAATCATACCCGATCATTTGTTGTAACATTCCTGATATTGATAATATAGAAAGAAGATAAATTTTCATAAAAGTTATGAGTTTAAGTTAAAGATATACATATATATATATACATAATCATTAAATATAAAAAACAATTGAATGACTGTATTTTTTTATTCTTCCATCAAAGGATGTAAATAGTCTAAATCTTAACCTTAATCTTAAACATGCACCAGTAGGTGCATGTTGTGTTTTAATATCTGTAACAGGAATATAGTTATTTTCAAATAATTACAAAATTAAGTATTTTGTTTATTTTTATGTTGTATTACATACGATAATATTAAAAGTATTAACATAAGCAACAAAGAAATAGGAAATTGAAACATTTTGTGTAATATACATTTTATGTATTTTTAGTATTAATAATATTAATATACAAATGTGAAAAGTAGATTTGCTTATATGTAATTAATAACTCTAATTATTAATTGAACCACCTATTATGAAAATGGGGCAAATTTAATTAAAATAAAAATAATATCAAATTAAATAAATTGCTTCACTTTCATGATAAAAGGTTCGATTATAGTATAGATACATTTAATCCGCTTCTACAATAAGCTCAGACATATCAGGAAGAGATCGTATTTTCAATGTTTTTTCATTTGCTAAATGCAACAAAGAGACAAAGGAAATAGGAAAACTCAGTGCTTCTATATTAGTTTTTGTTAACATATTCGGTAATGTTTTATAAATTTTGATAAAATCTTTGCTCCCGTTCATTTTATCTTCTTCTTCTTCTACTGCATTTTGTGTATTCTTTTCTTGTACTGTTGAATTATCTGTTTTCATTGTTAGACTCTTCCAGATGGACTTTTTCAGTTGTCTCATATCAATTCTTTTTGCTTGGACACTAAATGCAATAGGTATTTTATTTGTTAATTTAGGAACAGCAACTAGATTATTTTCAGTTAGAGCTTGAATTTCTGGTTGCAACCCAGTTTCAATATTGCATTCATTTTCATTAACATTGTCTCCACATGTCTCATAATCGTTATTAGGTACAGAAGGACAATAATTCGATGTATCATTCTCATTATTGTAATCATAATCCTCTATATCAGATATATGAGTAGCATTTAATTCATCGCTTTTTTTTAGACTTAAATCTATCAATTTATGAAGATACAGTTTGTTAGTACATGTAATATCATAATGTGTATCCACTGGCAAAGTAATTCTTTCTTCTAGCCACTCTGTTCTGGCACCTTCTGATTTCATATTAGAACGAGACAGTACAAACATTGTTTCTATAAATTCTTTTGTTTTATCATCATACTTGAGTTCAATTTCTCTTTTCCTTCTAGCTGGTTGTTCATGACATTTCTCAATGATTTTACTACGTTCAACGAGATTTCTAAAATTATTTATTTTCCAATGAGATGGGCCAGCCCAGTGTATATTCATATTTCTATGAAGAAAAGAGTATTCAGACATTTTAGTTACACCACAATTAGACACAACTTTACATAGATCTATAATCTTTGTTTCTGCTCTCTGAGCATCAACACATTGGTCCACAGTTTCTTCTTCATCTTGCATATCTAAATAATTCATATCAGTATGGATTACTTCATCTTCAGATGGTAAACTAGCATCTAAGTTAAACTGAAATTCATTTTCATTATTTTCTTCTGATTGTACACCCTCGTTTTCTTCTACTTCATCGTTACCGGACCAATTAAGAAATTCAAAACTAACCAAAGGTGGACATGTTTGCAATTCAGAAAAGTCTTCCATCTTTGGAATAGATTCTTTTATGCATTCACTGTTCACTTTGTGTTCTATGATATCAACAATAACATCGTTGTATGGATGTAAATAGAATTGAGAATTTGCATGGTTGGGCAACATTACTTGATACAATGCATTTGTAGTTTGCACATCATGATCTTCTCTCATCCATAATGAAGGTTTTATAGTTTCAATTGTTCCTCTTAAATTATTCACTGTTTCAAAGATTTTTTGTTTATTTCTTTTCTTCTTCTTTTTACTTAGTTTATGTAGATTATCTGCTTCGTTTTCTTGTTCACTATTAATCTGCGCTTGTGTATCGTTAACTGGGCCCCCATCTTCATGTCTATCTAATCCGCCAGACATTTTCATTATTTCTGTATGAACACTATCTACACGAAAACCATAAATTTTGGTGCTTACATCTAAAGATGTGCTAGCTACTTGCAGATTAGTCATATTGGCATCTTTCTTGCTTATCATATAGGTCATGAAATCAATCATTTCAAGACTAAATGCATTTTTAGTATTAATCTTATTTTCAGTATTTAATTTTATGCAGTCACTTATATGTTTTGTTATTTCAGGTGCTGACATCTGAGCTAAGAAGCCAAGACCCAAAGATCTACGTTTATTATTTACACTTACATTGCTTATAGGGGAAGAAGTAGCATTCATTTCATGACGTAGAGCTAATCGTTCTGCTTCATCATTGTTCTCTATCAAAATAGGAGTTAATGTATTTTGCAGAAGAACAGATTTTCTTCGTGAAGGTGATGCCAAAGCTCCTAATGGCATGTTTTCTTTACTTTTAAGGTCATTCATTTTTCAAATTTATGTAAGTACTTATATTATTGAACTCTATATCTTTAATGCATGGATTTTTTATCTAAAACAAAGATTCTTAACTTAGGAGTTGAATTACTTTAACAAACTATAATACACAGTTTTATGTTAACTTCCATTAGTTAATAAATTAAATATTTTACCACTTAGCGAACTAAAGTTATTTATTATCTTCTCTAGATCAGTCCTTACAAATCTTAATAACGAATAATATTGTTGTAATTCGTATTGTACTTGACGGAGCACCTTCAATTTTTTTATAAGATCCTAAAAACAACATAACAAAAGTTGGGCGATGCATGAAATCTCAAGAGTACTTTTATTAAAATATATGTAAATTTTATTATATCACACCTGATTTTCCATCTGGTACAAAATTCATAAGAACAAACACATAAAATACGTATGGGTCTTTTAACTTTTGTTTGCTTCAATAGATTTCGTCGAATGCAACAGAAAATGACACAAATTCAAATCATTTTGAACGTGAAAGTGTTCATAAAAGCATTTTATTTGAACAATAATAATTCAACTTCATTTTTAATTAATATATACTTATTATTATGTATACATTTTTATAAATGCTAAGCGCTGTAAAATGCTAACAGCTTAGTGTAAATAAACGAAAGTTTACTTGTATTAATTTTTATAAAAACGAAAATGCATATGATTTTCCATACTATTGGCAGCATTGCTAAATAAGGTGCAGTAACTACAGAAACAAAAAGACTGAACACACCTTTGTACCCGAGGGATTATAACTTTTGGGGTCACAGACACCCCGAAGTGAAATAAAATTCGAATCTGCAGAACACAATTGGTATGATAATCGTGTCTGCTCTACCAGTCTCTGTTTTACTACACCTCCAAATCATTTCTATACTTTTAGAAATTAGTAAAAATCAGTACAAGACCGAAAAATTTATTAGACGCCCGTAATCGCGGTCCGAGGAGAATCGGCACAGGGTGCGACCCCCGGTGTCGGCCACATGCTAGGCACTCGAGATGGGCACCAGTGTGCCAGGCGTGGAGGGCCCCGCAGTACCATACATAAGGTCTCGGTGCCTTCCTCTAGTGCCAGTATCGGTCGCCGTGGGGTTTTAGTCAGTAGGAATCTGACACTCCCCCGCCGACCGCCCCCAGGGGTCGGTGGGCGGTCTTATGCAAGATTTCCCCACGTAATAAAAAAAAATTATTTACAGTCACTGATTCGAGTAAAGCTAAGTACATTGTTGCAAAACGCATAATCCAGGTTTCTCGCTTTGCAACATTACTGCGAAGCCTGCTGGCTGCGGCACCGTTATTAAACGTTCGACTTCGACCGAACTGAAATCCCTTCAGTCCTCTAGCGACCGCCGAGGAGTGCGGATCTACATGCCAAACATACATCAAACATCTTATATTCCTGCATTCCCTATATTTCTATATCTCGTATATTCCAGCATTTCTTATACCAGGGCGTCATTTACATTTTTTCATCCCTTATATCTCTGCATCTCTTACATCTCTACATCCCTTACATTTCTGTATCCCTTACACATCTGCATCCATTACATCACTGCATCCCTTACATCCCTACATTCTTTTCATCCCTACATTCTTTTCATCCCTACATTCTCTTCATCCCTACATTCTTTTCATCCCTACATTTCTTTCATCTCTTCATTCTTTTCATCCCAACTTTCCTTTCATCCCTACATTCTTTTCATCTCAACATTCCTTTCATCCCAACATTCCTTTCATCCCTACATTCTTTTCATCTCTTCATCCCTTACATCTCAACATCCCTTACACCTATGTAGCCCTTACATCGTTGCATCCCTTACATATTTACGTATAAATTTAGTTCCCTTTTTCGCCGCTAGGGGGCGCTGTACCGACCTGAAAAATTTAGTTCACATTTTTACCGCCAGAGGGCCAGAATTCGGGCAAGCTTTAGTTCCTTTTTCCAAAACCAGATGGCGCTGATTCGACATCGAAAATTTAGTTCAAATTTTTGCCGCTAGGGGGCGCTGTTTTTCGAGATTTTCGCGAAAAGCTCGGAAAAATAGCGCCCCCTAGCGGCAAAAATTCGAACTAAACTTTCGATGTCGAATCAGCGCCATCTGGTTTTGGAAAAAGGAACTAAAGCTTGCCCGAATTTTGGCCCTCTGGCGGCAAAAATGTGAACTAAAATTTCGATGTCGAATCAGCGCCATCTGGTTTTGGAAAAAGGAACTAAAGCTGGCTCGAATTTTGGCCCTCTGGCGGCAAAAATGTGAACTAAAATTTCGATGTCGAATCAGCGCCATCTGGTTTTGGAAAAAGGAACTAAAGCTTGCTCGAATTTTGGACCTCTGGCGGCAAAAATGTGAACTAAAATTTTCAGGTCGGTACAGCGCCCTCTGGCGGCGAAAAATGGAACTAAATTTTGCAAAATTTTTGGCGAAAAACTAACTTACCTTTACTTACCTTTACTCGAAGCAGCGTTTATAATATATTTATTATAATGTTTACAGGGATATAAGGGATGGAGGGATGAAAGGAATGTTGGGATAAAAAGAATGAATGGATGAAAAGAATGAAGGGATGAAAGAAATGTAGGGATGAGAAGACTGTAGAGATGAAAGGAATGTAGGGATGAAAGGAATGTTGGAATGAAAGGAATGAATGGATGAAATGAATGAAGGGATTAAACGAATGTAGGGATGAAAGGAATGTAGGGATGAAAGGAATGTAGGGATGAAAGGAATGTTGGGATGAAATGAATGTTGGGATGAATAGAATTTTGTTATGCTGGGATATAAGGGCTGCAACAATGGAAGGGTTGTAGGGATGTAAAGTAGGAAGGAATTTTGGTAATGCGGGGATGTAAGGGTTGCAGGAATATGCAGAAGGCAGGGATATAAGAAATCTGAAGTGGCGCCGCATGGAGCCAGGCTGGGGACCTGGTCTCCACTGCACGCGGCCCGAGGAATGCCGGCATCGGGTGTGGCCCCCGATGTCGGCGGAGCTTGGTACATGGGGGAGGGTTAAAGGCCAGACCCTCTCTCGAAATAGGGTCGGGGGGGTCCCGTTGTGTTCGTCAGGGGACCCGGGGCCCTTTCTATAGACCTAGTGCAGGCCACCGTGGTGGTTTTAGTGGGTAAAAATCCCACACTACCTCCGGCCCCTCCCCAGAAGGGGCTGGAGGTGTCTTTCTGAAGATTTCCACCACGTTAAAAAAAAAAAAAAAAAAAAAAATCATGTAAGAGATGCAGAGATGTGAAGGATGCTGGAATGTGAAAGAATTCGTGATGCAAGGGATGCTGTGATGTATGAAATAGGGAAAGGTAAGGTAGTAATAAAATCAACACTTTAAGATGATAAATACAATAAAATTAACGGAGTATGTTTGAGAGGTAGATCCGCACCCCTCGGCGGTTGCTACAAGACTGAGGTTTCACCTCTCTCTAGGTCGAACGGTTAATAACGTACCGCACTTGGCTACGCAACAATGCTGCCAAGCGAGGAATCTGGATTACATGTTTTACAACAATGTTTACTTACCTGTACTCGAATCGGTTGCTGAAAAAAATTTTTTTTTTTTATTTTTTAACGTGGGGAAATCTTGCATAAGACGCCTCACCGTCCCTTGGGGGAGGGCAGTGATGGAGTGTCAGATTCCTACTGACTAAAACCCCACGGCGACCGTTTGGCATTGGAGGAGAGCAGCGAGACCTTATGTATAGTACTGCGGTGCACTCCACGCCTGGCACACTGGTGCCTATCTCGGGTGCCTAGCATGTGGCCAACACCGGGGGTCGCACCCGGTACCGGCTTCTTTTCGGACCGCGTGCAAAGGCGTCTGGAGTCCCCATTCCCGACACCATTTGCTTTTGATATTGAAAACAACTAAGCATAATTAATTATTTTGACAACCGACTTTGGAATTGAACTTTTTATTCATTTTACTGGTAATTAACGGACCGACTCGCTTTAGCGAGAAAACTTTGTCCAGAATTCTGGTTCCCTTTGATTCTATTGTTTTTAGAAATCTGTCAAAATCAGCACGAAACCGAGAAATTAATAAAATAATTGTTTAACAAGCTTTTATTTTTAAAAAGCCGCCATGAAATGTCGTATCTTCGCTACACCGCCGCGCGGTGAGCTAAGGTTACTTGAATAAGATATATTTTTATGGCAGGCTTTTTCCGTAGTGGATGCCGAGCGTGGTCGCGGGTGTACATACATACATCATTTGTATTTGTAGATATAGGAGACATTTAAATTATGGATTCTCAATATAAGTCAGTATTTTTTACAGTAACGTATAAACTACATGATAAATCCTTTTATTAATATAGTAATACGTGTATTTCATATTACTATAAAATATAAAGTTGAAAGTTAATACCATACCTGCTTTCTGTACTTCAACATAACCTTTTCAGTAATCATTTTAATATGATATTTAACATTAGATGATATTTTATATTTATAAATATAATTGTAAAGCATTTCAATAACCAAGTCTTTAATTTATTATTTATATTTAACTACAAATATAATTATAGGACTATTCATCCTGTAAAGTATTTGCAGGACCACTTGGTAAGTATATATATATTTGTAAATATTACATATTACAATTTGTAAAGTTACTAAAAGTTTCTAGGCACAAAATGTTCGACCAGATGGTAGACAGTTTTTAAGTTTTCGTTCAATTAGTGTTAACATTTCATCAATAACGCATGCTGATAGTTCAGCTATATTCAAAATTGGTAGTACAACAGTTGTATGTGGTATTAAAGCTGTAAGTATTTATTATTTAAAATTTTTGTTTATATTTCACATACTTAGTTAATAATAGGCACAAAAATAAATATGAATGAAAATAATATAATAATAGTTCTTTTACTTCAGGAATTAGCTACTCCTAGAACAGAATCTCCTGAGTATGGATATATTGTACCAAATGTGGAACTTCATCCATTATGTTCTCCAAAATTTCGACCAGGACCACCAAGTGATCAAGCCCAAATTATTTCAAATTTGATAAATAATATATTAATAAATTCAGCAGCTATTGACTTGAAAGATCTTTGTATTTGTAAAGGTAAACTAGCATGGGTTTTATATTGTGATCTTCTATGTATTAATTATGATGGTTCAGCAATTGATGCTTGTGTAGGAGCTTTGACTGCTGCACTTAATACATGTAAGTTTCATATAATTATATTTTAAACAATATTTAAAAATATTAATATACTATTCAGCTAATGTATGTAATATTTTCATGTATAGTAACTTTACCAGAAGTGAATTACAATATTGAAACTGGAAATATTTCTATAAGTTCTGTGAAAAAAATAAAACTTCCAATAAAAGCATTACCAGTTTCTGTTACTTTTGCAATATTTGATAAGTAAGCCATATTATTTCATTTATGATTAAATATTAAGATAACAAATAGAACAGTATTATAAATAAATTACAACTTTAGTCAGTTACTAATTGCTGATCCTACTGATGAAGAAGAAAGTTTATCTTTGGGAAGATTAACAGTTGTATTGAATAAGGAAAAAATCTGTTGTATACATAAACCTGGTATGTAAAATGTTAGTTAAACTAACATGTTTATAAATTTTAACGAAATTTTAATTAATGCATCATATTTTCATTTAGGAGGAATTCCAATCTCCCAAGATATGTTTCTGAAAAGTTTAACAAAATCTAAAAAAAGAGCAGAGTCGGTAAGATCGTTAATTAATATTGCTATAGTATCAACCGAAGAAGAAATGAGAAAATGAAAAATTGTACCAAATTATAAAATAAGCAATAATAAAATAATGTACAAATATTTTATAATATTTAACGTTATATTTTATTTAATAAATTATGTATAAAAATAGCTTCTTTTTTATTGCATTAAGTTGTATGGTATAAACCTTTCAAGATTAATTACAGTGAAACAAAATTATAATATAATTATCAGAACAGGAAAGCTTCTGATTGCAAATAATTGAGATTTTTAAGATCTCTGGACGAATTACATGAAGTTTAAAAGTAATCATTGCTGAGATAAAAGTCATGGAAAATTAATACAAACTAGTTTTTTTCATAATACGCAAAAACTCTTCTTGAGAAATTTCTCCATCACCATCTTTATCTGCTTCATCAATCATTTCTTGTAATTCTTCATCTGTAAGATTTTCACCTAATTCTCTAGCCACTCTTTTTAAATTTTTAAAAGATATTTTTCCTGTGTTATCATCATCAAATAGACGAAATGCTTTTAAAACTTCTTCCTTTGTATCCTTTTCTAGCATTTTTGTGGACATTAAGTTCAAAAATTCTTCAAATGACAAAGTACCAAGTCCATCTGGATCAACATCTGCTATTAATTTTTTTACTTCTTCTTTCTTTGGTTCAAATCCAAGGGCACGAATGGCCACTTTAAGTTCTTTGGTAGCAATTCTTCCAGTACCATCTGGATCAAATAAATCAAATGCTTCTTTTATATCATTTTTTTGTTCAGCAGTCAATTCCATTTTTGGTACACCCTTCTTTTTAATCAATTGTTTTTTAGAAGTAGAGGCCTAAAACAAGATTATTAATTTAAGTATATATATAATCTAATCAAAGTATTAATAAATACTAAATATAATACATACCATATTTAAAAAGTTTAATTAAATAATATCTACTATATTTTTGAAACTTTATATCTTTTGTTTAATTATAAATTTAAAAAAATATCAATGGTAATATAGCAAGTATGATATTTCATTTATAATCAAATTAATTTGCAATGATTAAGTATTACTGAAGTGGTTGTGACACACTTTATTTCATGCTAAAAAACAATTTAATAAGATGTCAATTGTTATAAGGCATTGTCTGATAGTTTGTTGTTTATGTTTATTTAACATAATCATTAAACTTGAAGTTCAAGCCAGTGTATATGACCACGAGGGCAGAAGCAGATTGTAGAGGGGCATCAGAATCATAGTAGAAATTTCCTAACATATGCATCTATGGGTCGTATATATGTACATACATACATCTTAGTTTCGGGGTTCCTAATACCCCAAGATGATATTAGCTCGGTGCGCAGACTCTGCACCATCGATGCATCGGGGTCTTTGATACCCCGATGCCATAATGTCGGTATATAGAGCATCACCGGTGTTTCGGGGTCCCTAACACCCCAAGTCATCATCCATTGCGCCATCTATACAAAAGCGGCGCAAACTATTCGTTAACTTACCGACTGCCGAAGAGCCAATTACCGACTGTCGGAAGTTCAGTCGATAAGTCGGTAATTTGTTGAATAGTTTCCGCCGCTTTTGTATAGATGGCGCAGTGGCCAACTTTAAAGTTTGTCAAATAATTATTCTAATAATTTTTCGGTCTTGTTACAATAATAATTGTTCAGTTTTGTGCTGCTTTTGACTGATTTAAAATAAAAATAGAATCAAAGAGAATGAAAATTGTGTCATTTCAGATGTTAGTTTGAGGTGCGGTAAAAGAGTCACTGGTAAAATAGGCACTATTATTATACTGACTGAGCTCTCTGCATGCATCTATAGTCAGTGACATACTTAGTTTGATTCAATTTGATTATTATGTCGTGTTTATATTAGAAAAATTATATTATTATATATGTTTATTTATCTGAAACTACATTTGGTACATTACACATTAAATTAACATCAATACTGAACTCAATATATGCTGTTAGGTATGTAATATATAATTAATCTCACTAATGTATTAAATATTTTATTTATAATTATTTGTTTTTTATTAGGTTAATTAATTGAAAAAGACATTTTCATCATGAATAGAAAAGTGTCTATTAATACTGGTAATACTGACTTGGATGATAAAATCAATGAGTGGTTACAGTGGAATAAGGTATTAATTTTTTAATTATATATGAAACGTATCTATAAATTAATGCTAATATTTGATGTATTATAGGGTCAAAATGCTGAACAGGAAATTAAAGAACTTATTCAAAATAGCAATAATGAAGTTTTGTCTAAATTATTTCTAAAAAGACTTGAATTTGGTACTGCTGGACTGAGAGGCCGTATGGGTCCAGGATATAGTCAAATGAATGATTTAGTTATAGTTCAAACTGGTCAAGGTTTATCAAAGTATATACTTGATACTAATGCAACTAAAACGAGTGTCATAATAGGATATGATGGACGTTATTATAGTAAAAGGTTAATAAGAATTTTTAATAACTGTAATGTAGTAATTATAGAATTTGTTCAAGAAATGTATTTATATACTATTAAAATTCCCACGACATCATTGCAGGTTTGCAGAACTAACTGCTGCAATTTTTGTGGCAAAGAATGTGAAAGTATACCTATTTTCAAAAGTTGTGCCAACTCCATTTATACCTTATGGTGTATTAAAATATAAGTGTGCAGCTGGAATAATGATCACAGCTTCTCACAATCCTAAGGATGATAATGGTTACAAAGTTTATTGGGAAAATGGTGCACAAATAATATCACCACACGATAAGAAGATTCAAAAATACATACTTGAAAATCTTGAACCAGCTGAATCCTCTTGGGATGTTATGAAAGTTTACACCAGTGATTTATATATAGATCCATGGAATGATATTATGCAGTCTTACTTTAGTGATCTGAAACAAAGTGTTTTGTATCCTGAAGTAAATAGAAATACAATACTAAAATTTGTTTATACTCCCATGCATGGTGTTGGATATGAATATATGACTGCAGCTTTTAATGCTGCAAATTTAAAGGTATTAGTATAATTTCGTAGTATTTTTATAGTATAGTTAATTATAACTTAAAATTGAACAATGTTCTGTGTTAAAATTACAAATTATCTTAATTTATTACAGCCATTTATAGTAGTTGAAGAACAAAAATTACCAGATCCAGAATTTCCAACTGTCAAATTTCCAAATCCTGAAGAGGGGAAAAGTGCTTTAGATCTAAGTATACAAATAGCTAATAAAAATTCCTCCTCTATTATTCTCGCAAATGACCCTGATGCAGATAGATTAGCTTGTGCTATAAAAATGAAAAAGTGTGTATCTAAAATTTGTATTTCCATATATTAAATGTAACATGTTTTCATATTTTCTTTACAGTGGTGAATGGTACATTTTCTCTGGAAACGAATTGGGAGCACTGTTAGGTTGGTGGATGTTGCATAAATATCAAGTGCAACATGTTGATACAGATTTTTCAAATGTTTATATGTTGTCATCAACAGTCTCAAGTAAAATTTTGGTATCAATGGCTAAACAAGAAGGATTTAATTTTGAGGTATGTATGTTTAAAACAAAGTTTAGTTACTTTCATCATTTCTACTATTATATACTTTCTTTGGTTTAAAAGGAAACTTTAACAGGTTTTAAGTGGATGGGTAATAGGACTGTGGAATTGAAAAATGCAGGTAAAGAGGTTTTATTTGCATATGAGGAAGCCATTGGTTTCATGTGTAGTACAAATGTCCTTGATAAAGATGGTATAAGTGCTGGCATGCATTTAGCCGAATTAGCGACTTATCTTGAGACTATGGGATTTACTCTCCATGATAAGTTGAATGAAATATACATTCAGTATGTCTTACAATTTATCTATATTAAATAGAAATAAACTGATAATCCATATTTTTGTTCCTTTTAAGTGTATACTCAAATAAAAAAATGTATACATTTATTTTAGATATGGATACCATATTTCTAAGAATTCATATTGGATCTGTTATGAACCAGATGTAATCAAAAAGATATTTGAAAGATTACGAACATACTCTGGGAAATCAAATACAGTAAGAACTTTGCATATAACAATATGTATTTATAAAGAATTTTCATTACTATTTAAACTTCAACTTTTCTTAAGTATCCAGTAGATATTCTCAAGGGGAAATATACCATAACGGGTGTTCGTGATCTAACAACTGGATATGATAATACACAACCAGAAAAGAAGGCAGTTTTACCAGTTTCAAAATCTAGTCAAATGATAACATTTACATTTAACAATGGTTTAGTAGTAACATTGAGAACTAGTGGTACTGAACCTAAAATTAAGTACTACAGTGAATTATGTACGCGTTCAACAGAAAAGTAAGTATTTTATATTTTTAGTAAAAATAACGTAAATTTGGCTATAAAACATTAGTTATTTTATGTAATTAATTTTAGAGATATCGAAGTACTAAGGAATACACTTGATGAAATGGTATCAGCTATTGTAACAGAATTTCTTCAACCTGAAATAAATTGTCTTTTACCACGTACAAGTTAAATAATATTATTAAATAAATATTCTTGGCTATCTGGAATTATAATAGCAGTCAATAAACAAAAAGTTACTGTTTTAAATTTATTACAATGGAACTGTTAGAATATGTGAACATAGATATTCACCTTTACACTTTTTTATTTTTCCATGTAACATGAGTATAATGAAATAAATATTTAAGAAATAAACTTGTTATCAATAATATGTTGTTTCATCAAACACAGTCAGACAGTTTTCTATAAGATGTCCATTAGTTATGAATAAGGTCTGAGTCCAGAAGTATTTTTTTATTCATTTCATCATAAAAAATCATACACAATATATTAATAGTGTTTATAACATTTGTAATAGTTAAAAGTTATATTTAACTTGATCAATTTCACAATTGTATTTCTTTTTTCCTAAATTTATTAATTTTAACAATATATTAACGTCACTTTTCACATGCATATGGAAATCAGCTTTTTTTAATGTGTTTTGTTTCTTTAAAATAAAACGTGATACACTGAAAGAATTATAATTAAATTACATTAAAATATTTAAGAAATTATATTTTATTTTAAAAAAGAAATATTACCTGCTCATCCAAGAAATCCATGACAGTATTTACTTTACATTTGAAACCTTCTGCTTTCAATAAAGAATGTAAAGATTCTATACACAATGGTTCGTAAGCCAAAATTTTATTATGTAGTTCTTTATCAGTATTAATTAATTGCAAAAGTATGTTTTTAATATTTTTTGTATTATCGACTGAAGTCATAGATTCAAGTTCATCAAATTGTTTTTCTTCATCAATAATAGTAATCGGTGAATGGTTATTTGTAATACTACAAAATTGCGAGATTTATAACTTAAATTTGCAAGGATATAATTTACAGACACAAACGTGGAAAAAGAACATACCTGTCCTGTGATAGTGGTGCTTCGCATTCATTATCGTTAATGCAATTAATATAATTTTTATCATAACTCATTCTTTTCGCTGGTGGTTCTTCATCTTCACTACTTATAGTTGTAAATTCAGATTCTATATTCGAGACTGAATTAATTATAGGATGTAACTCATTATAAATATATGTTAATAATTTCACCGCTCTTTCCCGTTTTTGGATTTTTAATCCATACTTGTCTAATTGCGCCTAGAATGAAATTCTTCCAATATAAATTTAACTAGGTATTATGTTATACAATAATATAAATTAATAACATACATGCAATTCTGGTGTCTTCATGTTGCCATAATCTGGAGGAGGAGTAACATTATCTCTAATAATTACAGGTGACTTAACTGTTCTTAAAATTTGGCTTTGACATTTACATTGAGATTTCTTCGAACTATTATTATTTACAACCCTTTTTTTATTAATATTTATATTTGTTTCAGAAACAGACTTTCTCTGAAATTTTCTATTATTTTGTTTTTTGATTGAAGATTTTTCATTAGATGTAGTCAGTTCAATATTGTCATTACTTGTAACAGATGAAATTTCTTTATTTATATTGCAACTTTGAAGAGAATCGCGTTTATTTAACTGATTTATTTCTTTAATATTAGGTAAAGAAATGCTTATGCTATTATCATCATCATCATTAACATGAACACTTACCAAATGAATATCATTTTCAAAATTATCATTATTAGTAGATTTCTCGGAATTTGAAATGTCTTTATTTTCTTGACATTTATACAAATTTGAAACATCAAAATCTAATCCTGGGCTAGAAGATATTGATATAGGAGACATCAAAGGATTGTTGTTAGTATTTGGCTGTTTTGACGATATCAGCAAATTTTTTCTTATTACTTCCATATCTATATTATTTTCTGATTCACTATTTCTTAGTTTACTTAAGTTACTAGTTCTTTGACTTTTTCTACTACTTATTGGTGATGTAACATTGACAGAACAGTCATTTCTATCTTCATCATCAAAACTAGAATTCAGTTGTGTTTTTTCAGTTTGACTTTCATATTCTTTTACTGGATTTATTTTAATTTCAGAATTCCCATTTATGTTTGAAAGTAAAGCAGTATCATTATCCCTATTATTTGTTTTTTCTAATACGTACTTTTTTATATAATCTCGATATTTTAGTATGCTATTATTTCCATGTTCTTCTTTATATTTTGAATACATAGACATTTCATCTTCATTCGTATCAACATCCAAAAGAATGCTATCTCGGCTTTCATTAAATTTTGATATGGAGGATGCTTCTATACTTGTGTTATGTACTTCACTTTGAATGTCTATTTCTTCACTATTAATATTTTTAATCACTAAGTTATTCTTTGCATTTTTCTCTGTACAATTTTCTACATTGCATTCTACGGATTGTGTGGATTCAAAATCAGAACATATACTAGCATTACTTTTGTTATGCATCATGATTGTATTTAATTTCGGGCTTATATAATTGTCAAATATGTTCAAAACATTTCGTCTTTTTTTTCCTGTTTCTTCAAAAACAGTGTTTCCACAAAATACTGTACACTGAATAGTACTGTCATTATTTCTTACATTAAACGGATTTCTATCTGGTTTAGGATTAATTAATAAATTTGAAGTTTCAGAATCAGAATCAACATCTGAGTTTGCATTTTCTTTTCGAAATTGTTCAATAAATAAACTAAGATTACTTTTAAGAGTTTTTCTTTTTAACTGACTCCAATGTGGTGAATTGGAAACTGAATTTATGGTTTCTTCAATGTTCTTAGAACAGATGGTAGAATCAGCCTTACTGACTCTTATTTCATCAACGGAATTAAACGTATTAAATTCTTGACTGTTTTTTGGGTCATCAATGTCCATAATATCATCACTACGCTTTATTTTATTCCGTGATATTGTATCATTAATATCGTCAAACATATCAGGAGACATACTACAATACCTGCTAGTATTTACATTATTTAAATAAACATTTTGAGATAATTTTTCTGGATGTATATTCTCCTTTAATTCGTGTGATGTAAATTCCTGATTTGTATCGGAGATTAAATTTTCTAGACTACTATTACTTAAGTTTAAATTATTTTCTTCACCAGTAGTTTGTTTTTCACATTCAATGTTATTTTCATTGTGTATTTGATTTTTTACTTGTTTACTTTCAGTTTCTTTTATTTCTAAATAATCAAACAATTGTTTTACTTTATACTTTCTTGCTAAATTTCTCAAAGATGAGAAACTTATCAACTCTTCAAAAACATTAAAATACTTTTGAATAATTCCACAGTAAATAAATTCCAAAAATGCTAAAGCAATGTTATAAGGTACATCTACCCAGCTAATTTGTTCTTTAATTTCAGGAAACAATGAAGAATTATTAGGTGTAATATCAAGTAGGATATTTGAACAGTGTACGTAGAAAACTAATTTATGTGCCCAAATATGTTTGTTGCTATTAACAAATATTATTAAATCACTCGCAGAACTATCGTTTAATGTATTCCCCCAATTCATTACTAAAGTATTAACGAATTGTTTATTTTGACATTTTTCACATTTTTCATTTATAAGACATAATTCTCTATGAGATGATTCATCAAACATTTCTTTATTGTTAGAAACATTTATTTTAGATTGATTTAAGTTTGTATCCTCTAAGTTGCATGTATTTACAAATTGTAAAGTAGTTTTATTTTCCTGCAGATACAGTTTAAATAAAATTTACAAACTTTCTAAGAGATTATGTTTATTGTATTTGACATCTTACTTACCATTTCTACTTGGCTTTCTTCTGGAATGATATATTCAGAAAGATTTGACACATAAAAACACTCCTGATTTGATGATAAACTTGCTTTATTCCACAGTTGCTTCTCCTTAAAATAAATAAATTAAAATAATGTCAATGTTTTATAGTAAATAATAATAAACAGTATTCATACCTTGTATAAAAGCTTTTTAAGCAATTGGCTTTTTAAAGTAACTTCTTTCCCAATTTCTGGATTATATATGATTTTTTTATTTTGAGTAACTAGTTCATCTTCCATTAAAATTTCTGAAATTTTTTCTGTTAAGATACGATTTCGCTCTTCTTGAGATCTTGTTTGCAAAAGAGTTGTTTGACTGATTCTCCCTAATGAAAAACGTATTATATTAAAAATACTAATTCAATTTTGATCTAAAATAAGAACATGAACGTTTTTACATGATCATACTTTTTTTACTTTTTACCAGCAATGGAGGTTTACTACTTGCAAATCCAAATCTTTCTAAGGGCTCCTCATAAATTGGTTCAACTGTTCCTGATATAAATTGCTCTGAGGTCTTAGAGAATCCCTCAATTTCCTCAATTTCATTTAATTCCTCTACTTCTTGAAGAGATTTTGACAATGCTAATGCAAGTTGAAGGTCAGAATCTTCATGTGCATTCTGTATAAAAGTATCATTCTTAATTTTAAATTTATAAGATATTAAAATAAAATATTTAATTGGAGAAACATACTACTTTACGTGATACTACTTTCTTTTTTTCTTGTACTGTAGGTGCAGCAAGTAAACCTAATGATTTCCTTTCATTTTCCTGACGTTTTTGGAGTTCTATAGCATCTAATAATTTTTTTGTAGAAATATTATTTTTGTAGGCACAGATTTTCATATGTAATGCTTGAGAGTTAAGATCTTTAAATATTTTAAAACATAATGGACATACAAGCGCTGCTTTCACATTAGTAGTATCACTTTTATTGTCGGAACTATTTTCAGATTTAAAAAATGACGATTCTATCGAAGGCTGGGACTGTTTTAAATTTCCCTTTTTCTCTTTCTCTGAATGTTGTTTAAATTTTGTGTCTTTATGATTTTTCGCAGAGCCCTTAAATTTTACAATGGTAATCTTTTTTCTTACATTATGATCATACAATTCATTTAATCTTGATTTATGACCTTTTGATTCTGGACTTTTAAAATCTAATATACTATCATCTTCAGTTTCAACAAATTTATTACATGAATTTTTATTATTTAAAGGTTCTTTATCCATTTTATCTTTACCTGAAGCATATGTATTAAATTTTTATCTTTTTAAATAAAGATATATAATGTTGCATATAATATTCTTCAATGAATAACTTTGTTCAATGCATTTAGCATCTCAACAAATTTATTTTATTTAATATTACAATAGATGCTACAAAATAAGAAAATTTATTACATTTTTTTAACTAAAAGTTTTATTATTTATATTATTTTTAATAATCATACCTTTATGTATACAATTACTTTAAATGATAAATGAAATATTTGTTTCAGATATTGTTGGAGATGATACTTAAGAGTTTTCTTTTTCTGCTTCCTTTTGACGTTGTCTATGAAGAACTTCTGAAGCAATAGGCTGAAGGTTTGAACTTAGCCAAGATTGTTTTGCCATCCGTTCTTCAGCAATAAGTTTTTGTGTTTTAACGAAATCAATTTCATTAAGCTCATCAATAAATTTCTTTTTCTTGGAAAGACAGTAGCTGCAATGTAATACATGTTTAGATCAACAAGATTTTTGTATACTTACAGTCAACTTTTTAGACAATTCTTTTAAAAAAACATTAAAAAACAAAAAAAACAATAAAATTGGTTATTTCATTACATACTATTGATCTTACAACTTTCAACACCTTTTATATGATAACATTAATTTACTAATAACCAATAATTATATACACTACTACATCATATATTTTATTGGGTGTTGTCTGATATGGGTCCCATGCATATTAGGCATGGGACCCATATCAGACAATACCCATTTTATTTATTAAATAGAATATTTCAAATATGTAATGAAACTCTGATATATAAATAATAAACTATTCTGAATATTCCATAGACGTATTTACCCTGCATAAAGTAAAATTCCAAAAGGGATCAGAATTTTTGAAAAGTTTACTATTATGGTAACTGTACCAGCAGGTGTTCCACGAAGACTACGGACTGTTCTTTCTTTAAAAACCAATGGCTCGTACATTATATATATGTAATGTTAATATTATAAAATTTGTATAATAATATACGATATTTTTATTATGCACGCTATTCTTATAACAAACAGTGCTGCCACAATAAAACATAAATGTTACATAATTTAGAATCAAGAATATTTATAATTATTGGTAATTCTTCTTTGGCTTTATTTTTGAGGAATTATTTCATTCCATGATATTGTAATTTAAAAACCAGCGAGAGAATAACCTTGTTTTGCGTAATTCGACAGCCGAGAGAAATTCCTAACCACGGTGATTCCCATCTATAGTCATCTTCTGCCGCCATAGTCACATATACGGTGGGGAAACATGATTGATTGATAAATTTCCCTCTCTTGAATGCGACATTATCTAGGAGCGAACGGCTCCTTTCTGCCTGCTGAAAAATTATGGTCGCCGCGCGCCTTTTTTAAATCTCATCTCATACATTCGCCATATTTTTGCTTCTGTATCTCATCATCGACGTTACAATCATTTCATTCGCTTACAGGTACTTTTACATCATATTGCCTTGCTCGCTCTATTACGTCCCCCTTTTAGTCGCCTCTTACGACAGGCAGGGGATACCGAGGCTGTATTCTAAGCCCCCCAGCCACAGGGGGTAGTTGGAGGGGGGGAGGGGATGAACGAACAGCGAAAATCGTACAAAAAACCCATTATGATCAAACTTTTTGTTGTATAAAAACGCATACCCGTTTCCATAGATTACATAATATATACACATATAGAACTAAATCAAATAACATGTACAGGAAGATCGAAAACTCGTCATCGAATTACATCAAGGTCTCGTGGAACAGACCATACACATCAATGAATGATGAAAGCTATCATTTGTTCAAACCAGATTTAATCTTACGTAAATACTGTTCTAGATGCTCATACTCTTGGTTCATAGATAATGTAACTTTATCTGACCTCAATATTGGCCTAAAAAAGAAAAAATATATAAATATCAGTATATTATTGTAAAAACTGAATAAATTATATTAACATTATCACATATAAAGTGTCTCATATTTTAATCTCACCATGAAATTATCTCTTGAATCTGAACTATTTATTTTTCACACTAATATTTTACACAGACATTACTCTGTTTCAAAGAGGATATAAATTTTATGTAAGTAAAGGTGCCTCTAAAATTTCATGGTGGCTGTTATGTTTATAGATGTATTCATGGATGTATGTACTTAGTGTATGTATTCTAACGATACTGCCTTTCGTAACGTTTACATACATTCAGAGATTGTAACGCTTACAATAGTAACTGTGAATTCCCGTATCAGTATACGAGTGATAGAAAAACATTGCATTGTACCACAATTTACTGCATCCAGAATATTGAAGTAAACAGTTACATTAAACAAAAGTTCACCCTGAAATCTTGGAGGCACTTTCACATAAAGAAGACTTGTGTCCATAAGGAGATGTCTCCCTTGAAAAAGAGTAAGTTCTGTTTAAAACGTTATTGTGAAAAATGAGTAATTTAGGAAATAATTGGGTCGAAATATTAAAATAAAATATTTTACAAAAAATGTGTATAACATTATTTTTATAACACTATTTTTGTTCCAAAAAAATTTGAATTAAATAAAACTGAAAAAAATATCCTATTAGTAAAAGTAAAAACTTACAAATCGGAGCATAAAGAATTTAAGTCCTCAGGTATAAAATAACGTGTGCGCGAAAACAAACCGACGAATGGATCAGTTTCGTCTTCAAAATTATCAAATCCCTTTAGTCTGTAAGAATAAAATGTAATATAAATAATGATAAATGATTTAGCTTAAATAAATATCGTAATATTTAAAGTTCATTCAAAAATTAAAATTTCCTGTAAAGTTTATACTAACCGTACAATAAAATGCCTGGCCTCTTCTATCACAGATTCTTCGACATTGCGTTTCGCTAAATTAAATATCGTAGGAAAAACTACATCGCGAAAATCACAAATTTCTATAAAATTATATTGTTCCGAATCATTTCTTTTAAATCTTGATGTAATTAGCGATCGCATTCTTGGTGTATCGATCCAAATAATGCAATATTGTTTATGAAGCATTTCAGCAAACCATTCAGAACCACCAATTTCAGCTACGTAATTACATTCTATACCATCATACCAATCATGTACCTGTTCAGTATACAAAAAATACATATATTTGAATTTCATGTATGAAGAAAATAATATTTTCCATGAAATGCTTTCAAACATTTTGTGAAGCTATGTAAAATTTTAGTAACTTACAACACATCCACAAACTTTACGTAGCATTTCACGAAAATCTGTCATTAATGACATAAAAGATTCACAGCCTTTCGAATACAATAAAACAATGCCTGTATTTTCATATTGCATTTCATTCTTGTCGTCATGTACACCCGATTTATGAAAAATATATGTAGAGTATCTGCTTCCACGTTTCTTATAGGTATGTATAATATAAATGATATATACAATTCCACATATTGCAACTAATATAATAGTAACAATATGTAAGAGCAAAGAAGAATGTGTATCAGAATCAATTGAACCGAATTGAAATTCAAACTGGCTGTAATTAGTTATATTTCGGCATTCTGCAAAAAAATTTAAATTACTATTTATGTATTACTAATAAACACGAAAATCACTCTAGTAAAAAATATATATATATCTATTTTCATTTTTTTTTTTACATACGTTGATGCCAATAAGTTTTTTCTACTGGAGGTTTCCAAAGAGTTCCCCCCTTACTTCTTATATCACTATAAATTATATTAAAACAGTAATTTGTATTTTGTATAATTTTTCTACTTTGAAATTTTCCGCTTGCTTCATACATTCCATTTACAGTCTAAAACGTAAGTAGAATTTTTAAAATTATGTGTAATTTGTTATGGTAAAACTCTAATATAAAAGTATTAAATACAGGACTTACTAAAGTTGTAGTGAAGTTAGGGTACTTATTTTTTGTATTATGCTCCTAAAATAATTGGAGAAAGAAAGAATTGGAAATTTCTTATAAGCTTTTATAAAAATAGAAAATTATTGCTAATAAAATAATACCAGAACATGAAACATCTGATTTATATTTGGCTCCTCCCTACCAGAACTACAGCTTTCCTTATCTTCATAACTATCAAGCAACCCCAATTCTACTAGTACATCTTCTACTATTGGTGTAGAAAAATTGACTTCAAAGTTTAATAGTTTACTACAAAATTTAGATAAAATTTTTCAAACATTCCATTGTAAAAAGTGTTAATTATTAAAATTATTTTTTTAATAAATATAAACTCACTTCATTGTATTATCAGATATAATACTGTATGAACATTCAAACATTACAGGGCTACTGATTTCTGTACGACTATAATTTGTTTTTAGAAATGCATTGTGTGCTATAATGTTTCTATTACCAAAGCAAAAATTGATAGAATAACATGCTGTAAATATATATGGAAGAGTTATGTTAACACTACCCTAGAAACAAAATTCATAATGTTATATTAGTTCAAAATATATTGAAAAGAATGAATTGATTACCTGATAATCATCAATTAAGTCAATAAGTATACTGGTTCTAGTATGTATTTCAGCATCATTAAATTTCTCAAAAGTATAATTCATACATTGTTCTTTGTTAACTGACTCATTTGCTAACAAGACTAATCCATACATGCAATTTTTTTGTGGTGTAAAATTGATCTGTAATTTAGCTGCAATACATTTGTATTATTATCTTAGATTAATAATACTTTAGAAAAATTAAGTATATACACTACCTACTTGGATATTTAGAAATGTCATTTCTTTCTTCTACTAATGCAAAACTAATATTAGTGGGAATATCTTCATCTTTACAAAAATTCATAGGTTTAAAAGGATATGACCTTATTCTAGGTGCATTACAACCATCGATATCACAGACAAACTGTAAATGATGAAAGGATATACATATTAATATAGCTTGAAATAAATAAAATTTGTAATATAAAATAAAACATTAAACTGTGGAATCGAAAAATTTACTGTTCCTTTGAGATTTAGTAAATACTTACACCAAAATTATCATGTATCATACATGCATGTATAAACATGGAGTAGTAAAATAGTTGTAATGTAGTAGTAAAATAACCTTTATACATAATGAAATTAGACTTTCACTGGAATTACATTATACTATGAAATGGGTAAAACAAATTTCACATTTTATTCAAATTTCCCATAATTTCATTATGTTTACTAAGAAAAGGAACTACAATTTCTTTTTTTGTAAACATTCAACAGTTTAAAAATGTTTGAATCATTCTATTCGATGTCCACTTTTCGGTGACACATGTGTAACATATTCGATGTGACGTAAAAATGTAGCAGAATAGTCACAACAACTTTAAAAATAATGTAAAACGGATGAATGCCTACGCATCTGAATGTATACCGCAGTTCACCAGAGTCCATATGAGTCCATAACTGCGACGCGCAGGTTGGAAGATGGTGGGGGAACACAGCGAGCTCTCTGCTAATCGCTTTCCACTTCGTTTGGGAGTATCGCCAATCAGGGCGAAGATGCGCACTGGAGAAGCGCGAAGAACGAAAACTGGTCTTTTCGCAGTTATGGACTCTGGTGAACTGCGGTATATATATATATATTTATGTGCGTGTCACTGATAAAACGTGTTTTTAAATTTTATCTTTATATAAAGAAGTACTGTATTTTGTATAAAATAAAACTAAAAGCTAAAACTAAAATAAAACGGTTAATATTTTGACAAATGAATAAACCAGTAAGCAACAAAGTATTGCTTCATAACCTATTTGTTTTTGTTAAACTATCTGAAACCTTACCCGAGGCTGCTTTACATTTTCTAATGACAACGCAATTGAAGAACACAAAAAAGGATTTTTAAAATGATTGTATAGGCCCTATCATTTATTTTTATTTTGCTATAATTTATTATATGCATATTGATTTTTTCTTTAATATACACTAATTACGTGCAAGTATTAAAAACAAAAAAACAAAGCATGTAAACAAATTACAAGTATATTTAACGCAAATACTATAAGTGGCCAAATAGTGTATACGCGTGCGCAGTTGTCCCAAATTATATTGTATGTACCTCTTTTTTTATTGTTTATGGCCAATAAAATTGTTAATAATAAATATTCGATGATAATATTTTTTCATAGATAGTAAAAAAAATATATTCTTTGTACTATTAATTTTAGTAGAAGATGTACGACTTAGAGTGTTTAACAAAAAATCGTGTTTGTCTAATTTGCATGCTTCATATTTTTTAATAATAAACGACATCATGATAACGTTATGAAATCTATAGAATGTACGGAGCGATCAAAGAAATCATTGCAAAAAGAGTTAAGTATATACACATGTATATCTTTCACAGCCTATCTTAATGCAAAACTTCATTTTAATTGTTTTTTCTTTTAAATAAAATATTCGATATTACAGAGGCACAAATAAACGATTGTGTCATGAATTCGTCACCTACCGAAAAACAGCATAATGAATATCCTGTTGGTAAAACTTAAACAGCTACGATAAAAGTAATGCAAAAAGAAGAAATGTAATACTAACGAAAGATATCTGTCGCACGTAAATTATTATCTAAAATCATGCTGAAGACTTGTTCACGTTGTTCAAATCGTTTAGCCAGTAATTGAATCGTATTAACAAGTCTTTCGTCAGACTTTGACGTTTCTTCTTCACGAAGAAATAGAGCGCATTTCATATTCACTACATACGAACAATTCTCAATTATTCATACGTGATAATATTAGCTAGCAGTATAAACCGCTTCCTTGATTATCAATCACATATTTCTGTAAATACTGTACAGCTTTCTCGCTTAATCCAAGATTCGGTAAATCATTATTAAATTGGTCCAATGTTCCAGCACCAGCTATGTAACCATTTAACTTGGCGGCTAATGGTGAATTTCGAAGAATTTCGTCGCTAGTGAGGCCGGTAGTTTCGAGTAGCCATGGATGATTTCGTAGCCGATATTTTTGATGATAACTGAAAAAAGCAATAATTTGTTAAATAGGAAATGTATCTTATAATTTCTTATTCGTAACTTTAATTTAGCAGAATCAGAAGAAATGTTCCTATCTTTTAGCAATGGCGTTTGGTCTAATAAAAATCAATTTACGATAAGTGATATTAAATCACTAAACTGTCGACGTTTATATAACGAAACGTGAATTAGATATATCACACTAACATTTTTTTTATCAATGTTCAAGCATTTTCTTTTTGTTACTTTAAGTTTGGTTGTTTTATGCGCCATACTTACTCTTCGGCCGGATAAAACTTTTCAAATTTTCGAACTTCCGTGAGAATCATATCTGTACGTTTTCGTTGCTCTTGTTCCCGTGATTTCTCAGCTAATAATCTTTGCTCCTCGTCGTGGTATAAAATCAAAGACATGTACTGAAAATTTATTACACGTAAAAATAAACCAACTGAAGACTGAATATTATCATTCGCAAATCATTAATATATATCTTAACTATTATTGTATAATATACAACTACCTTAACGAGATTTACCTGTCTCTTGATCTTTGTAGTTAGACCATATTCATGGTTCTGCCAAAACAGAGCGAGTAATTGTCCAAAGGATATAACGTTTGGGTCGTACTCGACATCAACGACTTCTGTATGATCTCCGCTGCAATAAAAATAATTAAAATAAATTAATAATAAAACTTAATTTATTTTAACAAAATTTGAAAATTTAATTTCTGAACCCTTTAAAATTTATTATTTGAAAAAATCATTGTTAGAACAAGTTAATTCTTCCTATTCTAACAGTTTAAAAAAAAATGTATATAGAAATTATTAAAATTGAACTGGGAATACAAATAAATAGTTACATGTTCCTATAAGTTGGAGAGTCCTTTTGACCTCCAGCGTAACCTACGCAGGTCCTGATCACGCCAGGTAAAACACCAAATAGAGAATCACCGGCCCAGAAGCATCCCATTCCAAATGTAGCGCGTTTCGCTTGAATTTCTTCCAATTGTCCAGGCATTTTGTTCGACTGTTGTCCATTGTACGAAGATGTGGCATATATAAAATAGAGAAAATATTTGATCGAGTTATTGAGAGAAATCATAGCTGATACTCCGTGGACCAGATAATGAACGTGAGAAACGGATACAAGATCGTACGATCCACGTGCTTATAGAGATAGTATCGATCTTATCCGATAAAGAAGCGCAAAACCTGTTAAGTAACGGTCACATTGAAAATTAGTGGGACACCTGCAGTAGTATAAACTTGTTTTTCTATTATTACTGACAAATTTCTACTGTTTCAAAAATATTTATTTTAAAATATCTATAATAAATGAATTAAACGAGAAGATAATGAATATATTCAACTTTAACATTTGAAGTAAATAAAGCTTGAAAGAATAGAAGATTAATTTAAGCACAAGTGTGTAACGATTTTAAACATTTAATTTTAGGTTTATTATTAATTTTTGGCAGATGTTAGTTTTGGTATTGCACGATATTGCTTAGCGTTTAGAAATTCCAGTTCTTTTATATCACCCGTTGTGCACCCGGTACAGGTGTGATCTGTCTACATAAAAAAGACCGCGACGAAATGTACAGGGTGGACCTGTACAACTTGATCACCTTGATCACTTCCGTTTTTAATGCGCTAATCATATATTTTGTTATTTTAAACAACACTTTATTTCATAACATCAATTTCTTCCCTCTTTTTAATATAAATTTTATCAATTTTATTCTCTTCCTCTATTTTAATATCTTTTATTTATAAATAAAGATTGAATTCATGTTTGTAAGATTTCGTCATTGAAACTAAAGGTGCGAAACCCATGGAAGGTATAATCCTTGAAAAGTTATTGATCAATCTCACGTGGTACTTAAAATGCTGTTCATCGACTCCGATGTACTTGAATAAGGAATGTCTACTTAATTCCTTCGATCACATTACTATCGTCACACGTAATCCAATACAGATTTACTATTTGTTGTTGTAAATAGTTTTCAGTGTTGTTTGAAAATTTTTACCAACTTAGCTTTAAAATCTTATAATTTATAATAATAGAAGCGGGATAGTTATTTAAATAGGTATCCCCAAAAGTATTTCTTTATAATTTGTTTCAATTAAAAAAAAAATAAATGTATAAATCTAACGATTTAATATGATAAGTGATTCGTCTTTTTTGAAGCAAAGGATCAAGTACAAAAAGATTCAGATTATTTTAATATTGACGGAAGTACTGTTAGTTACTAGTTTAGCGCGTTTGAAGAGACGACGGTGCAGTGTATTTCTAACAGATTACTTAATTTTCATTAATAAAAATTGAAATATGTGTAAACTAAAATTAACAGTTACCTAAACTATATAATTAAATTGTTCTTCGAGTCTTCTAATATCAAATTCTTTGCTCAATCAATTTGCTACCATAGTATTTATTGATACTAGAGAAATACATAATAATATTAATATAATAAGTTTTTGTAATAGACACCATTTCAATAAATGATTTTAGTTAACTTTGTTGCATTTTCGTTAATTTTGAAAAAATATTTTCTTTTCCTATAATGATAAGAAAATAAATAAATTTGTTCTATTTTGGAAGTTTCTTTAACGAAAAGTTATTAAATCTATAATTATTAAAAATAATGCAGCAAAAAGTTAAATATTACGCTACATAAATCTAAATTACCTGAGTATACAATGATGTAGCAAGAAGATTAGAAAAATAAAAACTGCAATGTGACAAAATGAAATTCACTTTAAAGCCAATCAACGTCCTCTCCGGCCGAAGGAGCACGAGAAACTACCGCGTGTTACCGTCAACTCCGGCTATTTATCTCTACAGTGCCCCCTCTCCTTCATTTTCCCCCACCCCAACGATATTCCCGCTGTGGCGCTAGCACTTCGTCACACATCGTTTACTTCTTTTATTGCCGATACATTTGGATCTTTGCTTTAATTTATCGGTCCTTCTGCTTTAGTATTTCTACTTATACCTTTTATAATCAATCGTCGCTTGTCACTTTGATAGCGTGCTTGCGAAATCATGAGGTATCTTCTATCGGTAAACGTCGTTTGTACTTATCGTGTCGTACGATTCCTTTTGCTAATCAAAATAACTAAATAACTATCTTAAGTAAATGATTTTTATACTTTTAAGTGTGACATGTTTATAAATGTGACTGAATTACCTCTAATGTGAATAACAATATAGTATTTTAATCGATATCAAATCTCATCGCATATATGGGCTATGTTAATTGTCAATTTAAACGGGGTTCGATAAATTCTCCGTGTAAGTTGCATCAGAAAATTGAAGCCACATGTGTTTGTTAAATTAGATAACAATTGCTGGACTGACTGACTGACTGACTGATGTAATCATTCTACCCTGGACGCTAAACTGAATGGCTCATCATTCTTGATTTAAAAAGAGCGGTATACTATCGCGACATCAATCGTACACAGAGGTTACTATCGCATCTTTCGCCGTTAATATCATTAACTTTACATTGCATCATTAATTAAGCTGCAAAATCTCATTAAAATACGACGGTAGCAACAAATTAGAGATTGTGGTTCAAAATGAAATCGATCATGAATGGGATTGCTCAATATTGCACAGGAATGAAAATATTAGGTTTAATGACATAATGAGATTAAGCAGCAACAATCATATTCGATATCAATTGTAGAAAAGTGTGAAGTAACGATGACATACCAAACAACGATAATTGATCGTGATTAAACTTCTGCGTAGCAAGAGGGTTAAATTTAGTGTCACCATCTTTGCTTGGAACACTTCCTAATGACAAGTGTTCTGAAAAAAGAACCATTTATTCATCGGCCCCGTAAACTAACAGTAATGAAATTTAAACCATACCTTCATTGTTGTTTCGGAAATGTTTTCAATTTAATATTGCGAATAGACTAATTCAAACATTTAAACAAATTAATTGAAAGAAATGTTTATTTTAACTAGGAATTAAAGAAATTTTTCTGCTTACGTTCCACTGTATTAGTACTTCTTCGAAAATGAACCAATCTTTGACTAGTACGATAACGTGATTACTACGTCATAATAACAGGAAGTGTCTGGGAAATTTTCAAATATTCCCGGGCTTTGAAATGAAGAGCGCCTATAACATTTTTTAAAATATTATAAATTGAAAAATATTTTAATAACGATTTAATGGGAAAATATAACGTATTCCCAAGTAATATACAGAGATATTAACCAAACAATTCTCGCAACGCGTTTAAGTTTGCTTATAGAGAATAAAAATTGTATACAGGATTGAAAAATTATGCACAAAAAATACCGTTGTAAATAGAAGTAAAATAAATAAATTATACAATTTTCTAAATGTACAGAAATATAAGTAATCTCATAGTTATTAATACAATACATTATAATATATATTCCAGAAAGTATGAAATTGAATCTCATTAAAGCATATAAATATGCCAAAATATGTAAAGCATCTCTATAGGATACGAAATTAAATTTGATTAATTACCATATATGTAATTCACGATGTGTTTTAAAGAAAAGAACCTAGAATATATACTATCATAGAACAACGACGTGGATAAAAATTTACAAATAAAAATATTCGTAAAAATAAAGATATCTAAATGAATATAAAAAGACTTCATTTATAACTAATATTCTTATAAAAAAAAGTCGAGTACGCTATCATACATAGCTATCCTAATGGCGTATTTCTGTGCAATATACAATTCAATAATTATTGTTCGAAATATACATTATTTTACGCCGTAATAAATAAAATTCTGTACATATTCAAAAGTAAATTCGAATTCGATTAAAATTATCTCTTATATATCGTAGTTCTTACTTAAATATTTGTTTAAGTACAATACACATAATCTCATAGAGAAGTTGCTTGCCTACCATCCAAACAAAATTCACTTGATTTCCTTGGAATTAAACATACACTAGTAGATCGCATAATTAATCAAAAGTTAATATAATATCTCATTAAGATATTATAATATTTTAAAATCAAAATTTGATGATACAGAGAATCTTGCTCATCCTATACAATTATTTATAATCCTTTAGCGAAAGGATACATATAATTATTTTAAGTACATATTGACAAAAGTTCTATGCATAGAACAGAAATGAAAGAAACTGAATGTAATGAAATAAAGAAAGTAGAATGTAATGAGGACTCAGGAATAGAGTCACATAAGGATGCAGCAACTTTTTTCAGAATGATTATCACCGACAATCTCGCTGGTATTTCCAGTGAATCGTTGAAAATCTCCGCCACTGTTGAATTCGGCATTAGAGATAGGTGATACAGGAATGCCATTTCCATTGGCATCTATCGAACCGGTGGATATATGTCGATTCTGTGCCCTTTGTTTCTTCAAATCCGACAATGATTTGACAAATACTACCGAGACGTGTATGTTGATCTTCCCATTGGTGTCACCATCCGGCGTGTAGATTGGCTGCTGATTACCGACCGGTGGGTCGGACCCTGTTACTATCGAGGCAAACATGTAAATCCAACGCTACTTTTCTTCCTGGAAGTTCAAGCGAAATTTGCTCTCCTTCCCTCTCATTCCATTCCATCTCATTCGTCATTTCACCTTGAGTAACCCTCCACCTAATCCCCCTTCTTATACACTGAAATTGTACTTCAAAAGAAACACGACTAGTATGAAACTAGCGGCCATGCGCTAAGCGTAACATGCTTTAGCAATATAAGCATTAAGAAAGTTGCATGATGGAGCACCAGAAACGTGTTTATATGTTCTACGTGTGTCTACACAAACATCTTTACCTCCTACCTTATATTAGCAAATCATCACATTTATTAATATGTTCCCTGGTTTTTGTTTTTTAAAATAAAGAAAATTGTAACAGTTCATTTGTTTTCTTTTTCAATTCATTTTCCTATTTGTTAATCTATTAGACTGTGAACTAAATCTCTATGCTTTTAATTAATCACGCAACAAGTAGTATTTATGAAAACTTGTAGGAGATTCAGTTTACAATCTAATATTTGTAACTGTTATATAAAAATACACCAAGGAAGCTGTAGATTTTCTACGCCAAGATAAATCGACAAGTTCTTTACCATTATGCTATTTAAGACTTCACTTTTGAGATATAAAAGATTAAAAACTGGGTGCTTGACTTTTGAGACACCTCCTTAAATAGATGAGTGAACAGGTGTCAGCACACATTACCAACAGTAAGAGGTCATTCACTATTGGTCCTTGTCGTAGTATAATAAACGATACTGTAAATAATCTTTTACTATTAGATAGTATTTGCTGTGCGTTTGTGTGTGTGCGTATATCTACACGCGTTCATTTCTGAGTATGGATATCTGCTGTTCCCTCAGCTGCCTACGGTTTAACTAGGGCACCCCGGAAATCCAATAGTTGATTTTTAACCACTTTTATTTCGAAACCAAAGTTGCACATTGCATAATGGTAAAGGCCCTTCAATTTGTTTCGGTATAGACAATCTGTAGTTTTCACGGTATACAATCTTTTTGAAACACTCTGTACATACATGTAAAGCATATGTAATAGTTGAATTCTCTGGAACATCGAAATAACTTATGTATTTTATAATTTTTTAACAATATAAATTAATTATATTTATAAACTGTGTCAATGTCCAAACATACTCTCTATTATAATCTCAAGCTGATCATTATTTGAAGTATTTAACTTTAATTTCAACAAATATTAAATACAAGTTTCTTATCAATGATATTAACATTTTTATAGAAAACATAAACCAAATTTCTACACATAACGCTTATAAATTTCATTCTTTATAACACCAAATTCAAAGACCTTCTGCTATACTAATATATGTATAAAACAAAAGTACTTTAAGATTTATATTGTATATATTAATTTTCGATTTTTAAACGATAACGACAATAATTCTCAATACCATTGAATTTCCCTAATACTAGTTTTATCAATATGATCGATTTAATGTGGAATCTGTAATAGAAACCTATTAATGACTGTAAGGTACTAATAACGTGAAACGATTCAATGTCGTGCCACAACTGACCTTGTAACGACTTTATCGTTTAACGATAAAACTAAGAGACAGGAAGACACATTGCGCGAGTACATAATTAACACTGAGTGAATACAGTTCATCATCAGCACAATCAATATGTTAGGTTTGTGAAAAAGTTTTTATTCTTCTTCGTTTAATATTTGTTCACTAATAATTAATAGTTGGTGTATTACCTTTTTTCATTTATTGTGTAGAAAGCAAACATTATTAAAAAATGCAATTGTAATGTTACATCTTATAAGCGTCAAAGGAAAAATTGTGAATAATTTATTAAGAAAAGGAAACTGAACTTTTTTACAGACCTAATATACGTATCAAAGCAAATCGATATGTTCTATGCGCGAAATATATTTTATTTCAACAACATTCTTCTTTATGATATGTAGTAAATATACATAAAAATGCTGAATATTAATTGATGCGAACTAATGCATCACGATACAGATCAATATTTAATCAATTTATTAGTAGAATACCGAATATTGATAATGTTATTATCAAACGTTACTACACCTGCATAGTACATTTACCGTATAAAGGAATGTTGAAAAAGACGTTTAAGGTAGATAGAAGAGTTATTCTGATCCTACTTGTATATATGGAAGATATTGAGTTATTTGTGTAATGGAAATGTGCGTTTAAGCTTAGAGCACTCTAAACTGTATTAAATATAAAATCAATATTATCAGAACTTCAGTTAAATCAATTGTAGATTAATCCTAATACCGTTCCGCATATAACAGTCAATAAGCTCCGTAAAATACTAACATATGATTTGCAACAAAATCACTAAAAAGAAAGCTAATGCAGTTTAGTCCTTGCCGTAAAACAATTGTTTCGAATAAATGTTTCTATACCAGAAAAATATTTTGAATGAGAAAGATACATGTATGCATAGCACGTATAAAAATTACTCGACGTTACGAGTCAGAATTTTGAAAGATATGGTAATATAAAAAGTTGAAAAATAATAATGCACAGCATCAATAATACGTTTAAAGGAACAGGAAAGTGACATAGAAAACTGACCTCGCAATTATTCAGGAGCACGGCGCAGTAATAACAGAAAAAAGAAAGGGCTGATAAATGATCAATGTTAAACATTTTGTTAACATTTTATATGTAAAAATTATGATAATGATTTTTTCTATACTACCATAGTAACAATCATTGAGTACTTAAATTTTTACATCTTTAGTTGTACAGCTGAAAATGGTTCTCATTAAAATGAGGATAAATCCTTTTTCAGTTAATAGTATTTCTCTGTTATTTTCAAACATAAATGAATATTCTATTTCGGCACAGTAAGCGCATGTTAAATATAAAATTGTAATTGCTATGAAACGTTACCAAGGTCGAGTTATGCGGTACAAACGCACGACTTAAATGGACATGACACGTGAAACGTTCTTCCCACGATTTTATGCACAAAACTACCATTTACCAGAGGATTCTACTTAACCACAACCAGTGTGAGTGTAACATGTTTTGGAATATACCTGAGTCTTTATCGACGTCTTCGTGAAGAAACGATTCATTATCCTTCCCCTCCGGAGCTTTACGTACTGCCGTTGGTGGGGCACCAGAATCTGACTCGTTGTTTGCATTATCTCGAGCACTGATTTCATTTTCAGAAGATGGAACATTTACAGTTGGACCTCCAATATACGTCTAAAATATATCAATTATTATTTTCTATTTTTAATCAGTGAAAAATCAGCCATTTGTAGTATTATATAATCTAGAATGCATTAAAATTTCATTACTTGTTGCGCTTGTAATCTTAGGCGAGCTTCTTCCTGAGCATCCTTTTTCGTAGTTAAAACTTTATCTCTTATTGAAGTTCGTCGTACACTTTGAGTACGCGTATTTATACTTTGAGATCTGCGTACTCGTCTTCCTTGTGCTTCTCGCAATCGCTTACTTTCTTGTTCGGTTTTAAGTTCAACTATCCTTTCTCGAATTTCAGGATCTTCGCAAATATCTATGAAATTAAATTCAACATTTCATCAATACTGATACTGAATAAAAATTTGTATAATTAGTACAATAAAAGTATTTCTACCCGCTGGAGTTTCATCGTGTTTATTCTTTGCATTTAAATCAGCCCCATTTTGTACCAGCAACTCCAGAACTTCTAGCTGAAACGAAACAATAATCATGTCAAGCACAATAAACTTGATTCAAATAACTCAAGAAATATCATGTATATAATGCTCTTACATGTCCCCAACATGCAGCTGCATGAACTGGTTGCCATTTGTCATTATCTTCAACATCAGTTGAAACATGTTGATCTAAAAGAAACTCAACTACCCTTAAGTAACCATTTGCAGCTGCAATGTGAAGCTAAAATTCGAAACGGAAAATCATCACATCTTTCTTGCTATGTGATAAACTAGTAACTGTCATGTAAAAGCAATGAATTTAAGCTAATATACGTACAGGTGTAGCACCTTGATGATCTTTGTACTCAAGATCACCACCTATAGAAGTTATATGTTGTAAGTCTCTTAACATTTGAACTTCTATTGAAGCTCTAGTTTCATCTATTAATTCTTGAGTAACGCCTCTTCTTGCCATTTCTCCTATATTATACAATAAAGTAAAAAGTTATTTACATATAATTTTAAATTATAAATATTAAAATGATTCTTACCCTCAATGCAATCCAACGTTTTTTCATCTTCACAAATATCATAAGGCATATTACCATCAGCATTAACAGCTAATAAATTTGCACCTCTTGCAATGAGGTTCTTAACTAAATGCAAGTGTCCACAGGTAGCAGCAGCATGTAATGGTGTCCATTTTTCACTATCTTCCGCATTAACATTTGCTCCAAATTCAATCAATAATTTCATCATTTCCTCATTATCATCTATGCAACATTGATGTAAAGCAGTCAATCCATCTTCATTCGTTGAATCTGGATTTACCCCTTTCTTTAGAAGACGTCTCACTGAAACATATGTCACTTCTCTATATGTAGTAAACAGTAATGGAATAAATATTTCTATATTTCTGTCATATTACCTTCGTCAATATCATTTCTTGCTGCAGCTTCCAAAAGCATAACACTGTCGCTAAAGTATATATGACGTTTGTTGCTTGTATGTCTGGTTTGATGTCTCATCCATTCTTTCTCACGCTGACGCCATACTTTTAACTGTTGAAGTCTTCTGTGACGAGCCAAATGCAAACGCTCTTGAGTTGTTAGCCTTTCTATATGCACCATCTCTGCCACTAAATCGGAATGTTCCATGGCTATTTGCTTGTAATTTTTACAACTGTATTTACCTGCTCAAAAAAAAATTTTAGTTTATATCTGTGGCTTAGAATCAATGTTTATTAATACTTCTAATATAGTATAAAAATGGTAAGGCAGAAAATATTAGTAGGAGTATATTGGTATTTTAAAGAGGAATTTGGATGTTAACCAGTTTACCTTCACACTTACAAAGCCATGAATGCATTCCAAGGTATTTTAAAATTTTGTGATAAACATTAGACATCATTCTGACATAATATCAAGTTTTGCTCTTTCACATTCAAAAACCTGCATGAAATTAGCCACTTTTTCAATGTATATTTAATGTGAATGATATCATACTTTTATCCAAAACTCTGTCACATTTATCAAGTACTTAGGTAAGTAAACATACATTATTTACACAAATGTTCAAAAATATTCATTTGAATCATCATATAATCACCAACAATAAACTGTTTACAATTTGCTGTAGGAATAAAACATGTTTTAAGCTTTTGGAAAGTTGTTTTCAAAATACACTTGTACTTGATAAAATTGAAAGAGTTGTTCCATGGAAATTTTTACAAATAAGTTCTCTATTTTTTAGAAATTCATGTGTAATAATTAATACATAAATAAAATCGAAAATCAATGTAAAATAACAATATTCTTACACATGGAATTTTTGTGCGATAACAATTAATTTTAAACAAATGTAACTTATATTTAATAAGAAATAATATAACAATACAAAAACATAATGTAATAATACTTATTACAGAATACAAATCTATATTTTAAGTCCCATCCTAGTCTATACATAATGTGATATAACTTTTCCATAACGAGCCATACCATTAAGAGGTTTCAACAGGTAAAAGAAATAACATATGTAAACATACTGTATTGAACGACATTGTTTTCTTATTCTTTATTGTTCGTTTCTTATCTCGGCGTATGGACAAAATAATATACTTCTCGCATAAAGCATGAAAATTAATAGAACAGATAAGGAAATAAAGAGAAATAGAGGAGAAAAAAACGAGGGCTAACAGCGTGTGAAATATCAGTAAAAGCGCCATAGAAACGGAAGTATGAATAACTTTGCCATTTTGCGATCGTAACTCAAGTTAACGCAGGTGAAAGAAATCTGTTCTAGGACTGGGGGGTGTCAAATCGCGGTATCTATATACTCACATTGGCAAGCGATTGCTTGTTCGTTCACTTATTCGTTCGCGATCCAATGGAATGCGGAAGTTTGCTTGTTCGTTCGTACATTCGTTCGCTTTTTTTCTTTTTCGTGGGCTCGGAAAACAGCCGTGTAGCAGGTAGAAAATTTTAATTGTGACGTGCTGAACTAAGCAGAGCTAAAACTCGTGAGTACGACGTAGCGGAGAGAAAGTCACCGTGTTGATCGATGAAAACGTATCATAATTCGCAAGGTTTCTCCGATGCAACTATCTCACTGAATAATATTGAATCAGAGCTAGCTAAACGAACCCCTTGCCTTTAATTTCACAAAAATCACGTCGCTTCTGGTCTCGTCGCGGCGCCGTGCACGCGAGGAAACGCGTACCTGTCAGTCGCCATTTTTAAACTACCTGTAGAAAATCATTCGCGCGTTGCCCTTCACTGCCGCGGTAACTTTGTCTTTTTTCAAATTACTTGACCTGTCTCCACGCGCACACCTCGTGCACAAATTTATCTCGTATCGGGAAGTATTTAATCGGGGATTTACAATGTGTATACAATTTAGGAAACGTAAAATCTGAAGTTTAACACATATATGGAACTTCAAATATCTCCACTAATTTATAACACTAGTATGTTTACTCTTTCAGCTATACCTACTGTAACTATCTATAATTCACTACAATTCAAAAAAATTTCTCTATAAAAAATTAAATACATCTATTTGAATTAAAATTTACTTAATTTTTTACTTTAAAGTGTTCATTGAAAACAAATACAATCATGAAAAACGTAAAATAAATTTAAAGAGAAATGAAATACAGAAGACATAAATAGACAATTTTCATTATATTTACTGCAAACTACTTAAATTAAAATAATTTAAATTATAATGATTATGTTAAAATTCCCGCCATAAAAAGAAACGAAGAACAAGGTATAGAATACTTACTATACTTCATTCATAATATTATTACAGAATTCACTTCTACATCGATAAAGTTGATAGTTGTAGGAAGTTGACAATAAAATTCTTTGTTGTTTCTTTGATGGTTGCAACGATAGGGTCTAAACGATGAAACGTAGATCATCAACAGACTCTTCCTCGTTGTTGGAAGATTCAAAATCCTCTTCAACAACATGTATCATAGAAAAGAAGCAAGAAGGAAAAATTCATTTGGCAATTGTCAGTGGAGTTTTTGCAACTACTGGAAGTTTATTCGGTAAATTTACAAGTAGCGTTGAAATGGATTCTATAGTAAGTTATGTATGATCTTCCTACCTCTAATTGTATAATAACAACATCATGATCGTGTTCTTTATGCAAATTTTTGTACAGTATTAATTGTTTTTCTCCTCATAAGCTTGGATTTCTGCTTAAAGCAGTACTTTTAGTGCTAATGATAACAAGCAATACTGTAGGCTGTACATTTTTCGTGAAAGCACTGAATGCCAGCGGATCTTCTTTACCGTGTACAATTGCCAACGCCGCCACAAGCTACGTTTGCTCGGTAATTTTCTCTTTTATCGATATATCAAAACAAACATGTAATGATAGCTAATTTATGTAATTTATTTTTAATTAAAGGCACTGGTCGGCTCTTTGATCTTTAACGAATCGACATCCCTTCTTTGGTGGTGCGGTATATCTTTCGTTATTCTGGGTTTATTACTCGTTTGTCACGACCCATCCGAAAGCGATTCTGTGAAGAAATCAAAGCAACAATAATTTAAAAATCTTGTCATCTTCCATCACTTATCCATTGTATAGCAGTATTTATATTAATATGTACTTAATTAAATAAATGAATAAACTTTGAGAGTTAACTTTTTATTCATTAAACTATGATATTTCGGTAATCATTAAAATATTGTTTTGAATATAAATTCCCAAATGGAGTGATATGTTAATTAATTGTTATTTTATTCTAGAACCTCAATAATCTTATCTTTTTAAATTCTTATTATTTCTCTCTGTCCCATTCAAGATAAGCAATGAAAGATACGAAAGGAATGACAGAGAAACCAGCAGTAAAAAAAATCTGAAGTAGTACTTGTTTTTAGAGAGTAAAGTGGATCTCCGCGCTTGTAATAGCGCCGGATAAGAAACGCGAAGAAAAAAGAATAAAAGATTCTTCCGCCCTATTTCCTTCTACACATGGACTATACAAATACTTCTTTTTTGACTGGATCGCGTCCAATATCCTCTCAAAGTTTTTCAATAACATTTTCTTTGTGTTTGAACGATTATAATAATTGTTACCCTTCAATAATTAATGAATTCAGGTATTCCTACAAGACAGGTAAACGCGAGCTATAATTTTAATTAATAATGTAAATTTAAGCGCACAAGTACAAGCCTAAACTATAGCCGTAAGTACTTACGCAGAATGAACATACATCCGTTTCTGAAATATTTATTTCATTGTTACCTGAATCATTATCTAAATCGATAAAAAGCAAACATTCATTTGTTCAAAACTGTACATGCGCTACGTCCGTATGTTAACGTAGGTTAGTAATGAAGGATCTTACTAGTCCAGGGTTGCTAGCACTGTGTTACGTAGATATCGTATCCCAGGTAAAAAGAGTATATGTGTACAAAGAGCTGGCGACGAAGTTTCAGTCAACCAAGTTTTCAGTTTGTGGGGCAGGGTCGTGGTTCATAGGTGTAACATGGAACAGAAAAGGAGGGTGTTAGCGAAGAAGTGAAACAGGAAAGAAGAGCAAGAGGATGGCTTTATCGAGCGGCGACTGCGCCAAAGTGTTATTCTCAACACTGCCGTCTACCGGCTAACACCAGTCATCCTCAAGAGACGATAACATGATACTCTTTCTTACCTATTTTCTCATGTTTCCTTTTCTAATTACTGTTCATCACATTTCTTCCATCGTAATAAACCATTACCCTTAATCTAAATTACACAAACCTACAACTTTCAACGGTAAATCTTGAAAACATTTTGTGATTCAATCATGAGTGTTTAAAAACATTTACAAAGACATTTGATTCATGCAATTATACTTTTCAAGCTATTTACTCACCACTTAAATCATTAACCTGGCACGTTCTAGTTCATTCTTATTGAAACATTGAACTTAGAGTAGTCATTTCAAACGACTAACACTGTACGCTGCGATCATTGATGTTTCCAGTGAGATTATTGAAAAATCGATGGATAATTGTTTCAGGTCAATGAGACGATCTGTTTCGAGCATTTTCATAGACGATTTAACATGGTAATCCTTTTTTGTGATAGATCTTCCGCTATGCAACGAGTTGTACTGTCCGGTGCACGCGCCTTACGCTTTTCCCACCCTGTTATTTTACCCCCTCTTTTTTCGACCACCCCCTCCAGAAACGAGTGCCCCTAGATTCTGGCAATACTTCTCGCAACCGAGACAACGGGACAGTTTTCATACGGCGCACCCTCTTGCCGATTCGGTTCCACATCAAATGATACGGATAGCGAGCCTGTGCTTTTACGCGGTTCGTGTATCCGTTTTACTTTGATCGCTGTCTACCTATTAATCGTTCGCGCGTGCACAAGCGTGTTAATTAGAAAAGGTGCCTTTAACGTGTTAAGTGTTGACAGGTAGAGTGGGATCTTGTACGATCAATCAGTTGTTTTGTTCAACAATCTCCGATTCCATTTACATTTTATTCGATCCGAACAAACAGCCTTTAAAGTAACACGAATACATAACCGTGCGAGTCCGTACAATCAATTCACAGCGAAGCCATAAGTCATAAAATTTGTACGGAGATGTTCGACTAAAGTAAATACCGGTAGTCAATTTTAATTGATCCCGCACCCACGGGACTTATGCGGTATTCTCGTGTTGTTCGAACGAATTCAACTGTGAAATTTATTAACGCACCGACAGGGGAGGAAAAAAGGAAACTCTCGCGCCTCTTTTCGTTACGCACGAAATGTTAAAGTATAATAATCAGAGCGATCGGTATGTTTGCGAATTAAGGGAGTTTTTAAATCGATTGGTATAACAAAGCAATTTATACAAAAAAGGTAGCGACAAAATTGCATATTTACTTCTAGTACACGAATAAATTATTTAATATGTTTCAATTAATTATTATAATATGTAATAAATAATAACTTGAATGACTCGTGAAATTAATTTTCATACCATTCAATTTTCTCTACGAATACGTTATTGTTATTTAATATTATATTTATAAAAAATTGAGGGTAATAGCAATAATGGCTCTTGTTGCAAGACATTTAAATCTAAACGGTAGTCATTTGGGTCAGCAACATGAAAAACTCGCTCGATTCGGTTTCTTCCCGTTTATTTTGTCAAAACTTGTATCCTGATCGTTACTTGAATTATTATCTCGTTGATTTTTGCCAAGATTAATGCACGCAAGAGACGAGCTTCGATTTTCTATTTGGCATCACTCCAACTAATGCTTGCTAGAAAATCAAAGACGTGAAAACTTTTTTAATTTATCGCCGTGGGCAAAGTAACGATTGTACCCTTTAGCCGCATTTCATTCTTTCTATAGAAGCTACCCTTTCTCTGTGTATATATATGCACGGTGCATTTAAATCGTCGGGAGAAAATCAGGCAGAAAATATAGGTTTGTTCCTCTCCAGCTGAAACGAAACAAAAGCTTTCCCTCAAATTGCTCGGCTTTCATTCAGAGTGATAACTTGATCGTTGCGCTGATGAGTTTGCCTGTATTTCCCTATTCTGTTCCACTTGTTCTGTCGTCGCGTTATCAGCACGAATGATCGGAAAAAAGTTTCGTCAATAATTTATTTTTATATCTTTTTTAATTTCTCGTGAATTCACTGTTGATCGCGATGAAAAGAAAAAAGGATTTCCACGAAACCGCGATTGTATAATGTGATCCGTTTCTAACGCATCGTAGTGGAATAAATGTGATGTTGAAGTAAAATGCTTGCATAGATAGGTCCCGGTGGAAAAAAAAAGTGTATAGAAACGCACATGCCATGACACACTTGAAAAGAGTTTCGTGACAATCTGTTTAATCTTCGCCAGTAAATGAGATTTATGGCGCAAACAGTCCTCTTTTTTATTTTTCATTATCTTTTCCCTACATAAATCATAAGCGAATGCGGGTAGAGAATAAAAATGATGGAATAACAGATTTCTCGTTACGCGATAGTGTACCCTCAGATATATTTTATTAGTATTTTGTAATTATCTGAAGTTCAACGTGAAATCGAGGAAAGAATAAAGGTAATGTGTCAGTGTTGATGGGAAATATTGCACGTTTTTCTTTCTTCTAAGAGGAATATCGAAGAAACATGTTGGCACGAAGATACTCTATTACGAGACCCACGCACCGCGACTTCGAAGGTTTCAATTAGACGACGTAATCAAGTGAATCAGAACTAGTAATAGCTTTTCGAGAATCTATCTTCAACGATGATGCTGAAGGAGGAACGCGACGGTGGCTACAAAAGAAACTGTTGTCCAACAATAAGATCATCGGGGAGCGAGCTCGAGAGACGAAAGATAAGAAAAGATCGACGAATCGTCTCGAGTGTGACAACCGATTGAACTGATAGTTTCTTCTTTTTTTTATCGTGGATCTACAACGTAGCCTAAAGGGATTCTGGGCTCTGGAATCATAAGCTGGCATCATGGGGAATGGTATGAATAAGGTAAAAAATGAATAATTAAAAATTTCTTTTAGATGAATAAATAGTGAAGGAATAGTAGCATGGAATGTTTATCCTAGTTTAACCCTTTCGTGACAAGTTCATATACACTCCACTTGATATTTTTTGCCCCTGTGGAAATGAAATTCAATTCTTGTGAAATTGTAAATGCGTCACGTGAAAAAGACCTCAAAAACAAAAAACGAAAAAAAAAATAAATATGAGACAGGATCTCGCTTTAAAAAAATTCATTATGGATAATATTAATATTGATTATTACAGTTTAGAAAAATTAATAAAAATACCTCAATGTCTCACGAACTATCTCACTGTAAAATAAATCATTTATCACATATTTTATAATTATAAAAGAAATTTCAGTCTACTCTTCCTTAAAGAAGCTAATGATGCACGTGCTTGTACATCTTGTTTTGTTAGTTACTATATGTTAAGCTTGTAAGATTACGTCGTGGTTGCTAATTTTATCTGTCCCAGATATTAAAATTCAAAAGATATTTTTAACATTTTCTACTTCTCAGTATATCCTTTTTATATTTGAAAAGCTTGATCATTTAATTTTGAACCACCCTGTACGTCCATTAATTTTCCATTAGATGAACTTGATTTCGAATTGTCACGGAGTAACATGAAATTAGTCGTTCCATTTGTCGGAAACTTTTGTAATTCTCCAATAAATCAATGCTCTAATATACAGTTTTAAGAGGCATCGTACGATGCATAATATCGCAACGATGCACGTTGAGATTTCAATCGATGGTCCCGATGGAAAGTTAAGAGCTGTACCTTTGTTCTATCGTTCCACCAAAGACACCTCATTTAAGAATGCCGCATCGATTAAGCGATTACCACGAGTCTCACCTGGTTGTACAGGTTCGAGTGATCATCCAGAAAGATGAATGATTAACGGTGAAGCACATGCATCAAAAAGCTGCTCCATCGATTTTTTTTTTCTTTTTATTTTTTTTTTTCAATGCTACCTCGACATCCACGTAGCTCAAGTACCGCTCGACTTTTCTCCTCACGCTAATTGCGATAGGAAGCATCAACTCATCTTCACATGAATTTAAGTGTCGCTCTTGTTACGAGTCTGAGCAGCGTTTAGAAAATAAATCCTCCGAGTAATTCGAATAATTAGCGATACATCCGCGATGGAATTAACGAGGGGAGTGAAATCACCCTTCAGAACACTGATTTAACGTCAGAAAGATTAAGGAGATGCTTGAAATCTCTTATTTCTTTTATATAAAAAATATTAAAATATTAGAGATGAATATTTCTAAAATAGAAACGAATAGTTGTCTAGGAGGATAATTTTCTAGGGGTAATAATTCCTAAGCTCCATCTTTCTCTGTAATAACTTCACGGAGCTAATTAGACTTTGTATGCAAATTTCTCCCTCGATTCGGAGAGTTGCGCGCTATGCCTTTACATAATTATTACTTTTGGTATGCTCTATAATTACCCAAAGTTCAAAGGTAAAGTTTCAACCTAATATGACGCGCTCCCATCGTAAGTTGTCCCAATGAAAAAATTAAATTTGCAAATCTTATTAAACTTCACTATTCATCTCTTTCATATTTCACATCTGTAGGTACTTCCTGGCCTCTACGTCGGGAATTATCATGATAGTAAAGATGCTGATCAATTAGAACGATTCGAGATCACCCATATTTTGGCAATTCACGACACTGCTCGTCGATTGCATTCTGTAAGTAGAACTTAAAAGTAGAACGTTAAATAATAGATTGTATAAAATATTCAACGTATTGTTTGTAGGATAAGCATTATTTATGTATACTGGCGTCGGACAGTCCAGATCAGAACTTATCTCAGTATTTCTCCCTGTGTAATGACTTCATTCACGCAGCTCGTCTGCGCGGTGGAAACGTTCTGATACATTGGTACCTGCCATGTTATGATATTAATTTTCCTTTAATCAATACATTTTTATCTGGATCTCAAAGAGATTGATGATATTCGATTTCAGCTTAGCCGGTATGTCAAGGAGCGTGACAGTAGCAGTGGCCTATATTATGAGTACCACCAATCTTTCATGGAAAGAGGCACTCAAAGTGGTCAGAGTAGGTCGTTCCATTGCCAATCCAAACGTCGGTTTTCAGCAACAGCTAAAAGATTTCGAATCTAGCCGATTGCACGAGGTACTGAAATGAATACTTCAACTAAATAAGTGGCTATTTCATCTCAGCCCGCATCGGGGTTAACATTCATCTTGTCTGACACAGGAACGACGTAGGCTGAAGGAGCGATTTCCAAGCTTGGCACTGGCAGAGTCCGATGCAGAAGTGTGTCGTACTACTTTGAGAAATTACGAAACCATGGCATTGGCACGGGAGGTGTGCGAGGGAAAATGTGCCATGGGCCGTCCTTGTCCGACTGGACTATGCAGGCAACCATCCAAAAGGTATGTTAACGTTTTGTACAGCGTTGATTAACACGGCTTCGTTTGGAAGAAGAAATGAAATCGATAAAGTTATTCGATTCGTTCGTGTATTTATAGAAGTCCAAGAAGAAAGCCATCCACGGGTAGTACTAGCAGCTTAACCAGTGGAAGAACTCCGCCACAAACACCACGAATGTTACCGTCTGCACCACCATCACCTGCTATGCAGAGATCAAGTAGCGTACTTTCGGCTGCGAGACCAAGAAGCGGTCCTGCAGGTTTACATTATTACACAGGGGGATCTGCACCTCCATCTAGGTACCATAGACTATCGTATCGTAAAGGAAGTCATGAATAAATTATCAATTCTCTCCTTGAACCTTTAGTACTATCGTGTGAAACTTACAGAGCTGTGTCAAGGGTGGATTTGTCCGCGGCTGTGGCGTGCAGCAGTAGCAGTACGAGTTTGTCATCAGTGGGTAGATCCGGTCTATCTAGTAGTAATTGGCGTTTAACAGCTGGATCAGCCCCAAATACACCGAGGCCAACACCACCGGTATCTCCTCAACGTTGGCCAAGGAGAGCTTCCAATCGCCAAACACCTCAGTTGCCAGTCTCATCAGAAACTCCATCTACGACGACGTAGCACTTGAGGAACTTCCGTTCGTTCACGATTTTACCTGAATAATTTCAACGTCGTATCACGTCGACGTAATGTCAGTATTTCGTTGCGATTCTGTTGCTTGATGAGTGAAAGAAAGAATCGTCGAGAAGTATCGAACGACGGAGAACTTTGATAACATGCACTTAAGCTTCCCAGTTTGAAACGATGTTCAATTATGTGCAAAAACTTTTTCAGGAGTCTCTCAGTGAACTGCTTCGATCTGCTTGTGCTAATTCGCGAGATTGTTTGGCAAGACTATAGCACTCAGCACAACGGTGGTTTCTGCTTTTACGGGTCGATAGTTATATTTGTTAATCGCGTAAGAAAAACGACAGACTGTCGTTTGTATTGCTAATAATAATTGCAGACGTCACAGGTGGAACCGCACAAGGCACACATATTTTCTTTTCGCTTCAAGCGAATGCGTAAGGCGGAAATTCAATTGTTCAAAAGGGTCCGCGTTTCAGAAACTCACAAATTGTTCATTGACGCGGTATAATTTTAAACGTGCGTTACAATCATCGACAATCTTACGTATGATTCTAGGATTCTCGTTAATTGACATTCTTTTTTTATAAAAAAAAGAGGTGTACCATAAATATTGTTATTTACGACGAAGCTATGAAAAACTGTCCAAAAAGATCTCTTTGTTTACTCGTGTAAAAGTCCACTCGTAGAGGATTCATTACTATGTATGGAACGTAGAGTTAGAAGTACAGAAAATCATTGCATTCAAGGGAAAGCGCTTATTCTCGTGTTTGTTTATCAATCATCGATTCGCTGTAGTTGTAAACTCGATCATATAATAGCACACGCTTGATCACTTTTCTAAAATCAAAGCTTGATGCCAATATTTGTATTCAAAGAGAAACCAAATTTTAATGGCTATCCTGAGAGATTGAAAAGGAGTATGCCATTGATATCGTTAATAATTGTGAATAGATTATTTGAGTATTAAAAAAAAAAATCGATGAAACACGAGAAATATGAAAAGATCAAGAGCTGTTGTTCCCTCGAATCGTTCCATTAAGTTTGTTCGCAACCGTCCATTGCAGTTGTTGGATTTTGTAGCGAAACCACGCTGTTTAGCGCAAGTTGTTAATCTAAAAGGAAGCATATTAAAACATATTTGAAGTGTGTGTCGATGGAAGCATTTTATGCACACGAAAAATAGATATATATTAATACATTAAGCCTAGGACGATTTTTGGTAAAAAATTTGTATGACTATCTTGTTAGCGCTAAAGGTTCACGGCTCACTTCATAGGCGGCCCCTTCCCTACGCTTCCACCCGTGCCGTAGGCGGCCGCGGGAAGAATGACGAGACAGTGAAGGGGCCCCCTATATATAGGTCTGTGGCCGCCCGCCTCACACGCACTTACGCGCGAAAATTTGAATTAATATTTACTTTGTTATTCGTACTGTTCAGTGCTATACTAAATTCTATAATATTTAATAATTAAAAATGATGCTATTTTTGTTCTAAGTCATTTTTAATAATAATATTATTAAAATTAAAATTTTGCGTGTGCAAAAAATACCGCTGGACATCGCACACACTTGTATGCATTTGTAAGCATACGTTGTTGCAAATGGATTTCAGAAGATTTTATAAACTGTTGGCAATGGTGATTATTATGCGACTATGTCGTAGATTAGATAGACACGTTGTTATTTTTTCGTGCACCACAGGTATGTACGATCCACGCACGATGAGTGAGAAAAGAAAGAATCCGAGCGAATCTTGTACCTCATTCCTCTAATCATCGAGGCATATTTCTTAGATTCACACGATAGAAATATTTATTTTTCTAGAATCACTCGACCGTATCATAGATTAAAACGGAATAGTTAGAAAGTAGAGAATAAAGTGCGCAGATAAGAGTATATTAAAAAAATAAGAAAACAAAAAAAAGCATTTCAGTCAACTTTTTAGCGTTATTCAATCCAGAAGGATGATTTTAACAATAACACTGACTAGGTAATTGTAATTGTATTGTTAAAATCACTTTCTTTGTATATGCTGTACTCGTTTGAAGAACTTGATCATTAAGAGTCCAATCGATATGATCTATTACTGGTTTACTTGTTTGTTATTATTTTTAAATATTCAATTAAAGTATAGTGATAATGGAGCAATAATGTGATGTGAAAAACGTTCACGATTCAAAGTTTGATCCAGTGATCAAGATCATTTCCATTGGTCTTTTCAAGATCATTAATGTTCTCAATTAATTCAAAGGGGTACAACTATGATGATGTTAAAAATCCACAAAGTATTTTTTATAAACTTATTGTTTTCAAACGTTTGCTGGATATTGACATATCGCTGTTATAATAATTAAATATATATATATATACACCGATACACACAACGCTTGACCATTTAAATACGAAAATATATATACGTATATATATTTGTAGAGAAAGAGAGTGCGTGTGAGAGAAAGAGAGAAAACAGTTCTAAATTATACATATATATACGTTCTTTCATCCTATTGTTAGAATTTTCATTTAAATATATTTATATTTATTTAATCATTATATTTTATTTCAATATATTTATAGAATGATCCATATTTTTTATTTGATGCTTATGCTACGTGAATTTAGGTTGTGACTGTGAAAATAAAATAAAATTATGAAAGAAAAGGAATGATAAACGAAATGTCTTTTAAAAATTAAATAATGATTCGTTTTAAGCTTGACAGAATAACTTTCGAAAACACTTTAAGTCGCTGTTTATTTTTTAGAATTCTATTGTTAATGAAATATTAAATTAAGGGGACAAATTGAAAATATACATGCGATTTTCTTCAAAGAAAGTTAGTTTCCCAATGATTTTAAAATATTGTAAAGCGACTTGTATTTTTTAATTAGAATATAGAATTTCCTGATGCGAGCGTCGAGGCCGAACTTCGAATTCCGCGTCGGTAAAACAGTCAACGTTTCATCGAAAATTAGGCCGAACAGAAACTGATTTAAGCGCCACTTCAATTATCGCATGCTATCAACCCTATCAACTAACGGCATGCTATACTACGTCACCTTTCGCGTACACCTAAATGAGTTCCGTAAAATTGTAGTTGCAATGTGATACACTTCAGAATCTGAAAGGCATAGTTCCTGAAAAATATATAACAGAGATTAAATAGAAAAAAAAGGATAAATTTCGCAGCCATTTCTCTCGTATTATTTGCTGCATTATTAATAAATGTACCATAGAAATAATGATACAGTTATTAATTAGTCATCAAATAATAACGATTGCCCAGGTCTTACCACGAGGAGGTTGCTATGGTTTGGAGACCCGTCCTACCTCATCCCATCCACCCTCCATTTATGCAAATTTTTACTTTCATTCAGTAATGACTTCCTCTCGAAAATTGTTATAAGAAAAATATTTGTTAGTCAACGTGGCGAATTTCTAACAAATGAAAAGCAAAAATTATGTGTTCTGTAGACAAGAGCGAGATCTGGCGCCTGACCAAAGTCATGGATAAAGTCATGGCCTCTCCAATGTACAACGTCTCTGCTTGAAATATCTTCGCCAGGGTTGATTTCTTTCTACCATTGCGTATCAAACAACTTCGTTCTTTCTAAATTCCATATTTTGTGATTTTCTTTTGATTTTATTTTTAACCGACTTGGAAAAGAAGGAGGTAATTAGTCATTTGTAATTAATCAGAAATCATACAAGTTCCTTTTTCAGGAACTATAAAATTACTATAGTTATACGTTCTATATGGTAATATTGCAATCCCGAAAATACTTTTCTGAATTTAAACTATTGTTTCCCAATTCAAAAATATATAAATCTTTTTATTGTAGCTCTTAGCTTGATATCGCTTTCTAAAAGTTATCTTTAGAAAACGATATCAATTACCAGGTCACACCACATGGAGGTGGCTACGTTAGTGACCCACCCTAAAATCATAAGAACGTGAAACCATTCAAAACATACAACATAAAATAAAAATTTTAACAATACAATCTTGAAATAGAAAATAAAATTAACATCCTAAAATCAGAAACAATTGAGAAAATAATAATAATTTAACAATAAAATGCTGTAACGGAAAACATAATTATTAGGATTAGATATACAATAACGTGAAACCATTCAAAACAGACAACATAAAATAAAAATTTAAACAATACAATCTTGAATAGAAAATAGAATTAACATCCTAATATCATAAACAATTGAGAAAATAACAATTCAACAATAAAATGCTGAAATAGAAAATATAATTAACATCATAATTTCTGTAACAATTAACAAAATAACAATTCAACAATAAAATGCTGAAATAGAAAATATAATTAACATCATAATTTCAGTAACAATTAAAAAATAATTCAACAATAAAATGCTGAAATAGAAAATATAATTAACATCATAATTTCGATTACAATTGAAATGAAAAATGCCGACAACAGAAAATATAATTACCATTACAATCTCGGAGTATGTTTTAAATAAATAGAACATAATTAAAATAAGAACATGAAATATAATTGATGTGCAAATCAATAAGAAAAGAATAATTTATTTCAATAAAGCAATAAATGAAAAAAAAATAGGGGAAATAAAATCGCGAGTTGACCATTCAACGAGCTGGGTATTGAACTCGTAAAATGTCGAGTTCAATACGTCCTGGACGGTATTATTCATACCGTTCAAGGAAAAACACAAAAAATGAAAAAACAAATTAGCGAGCATAGTGACAGAATGACTGTCCATCCGAAGATGGAGAGCCATTAGTAGTTCCCCTCTTCTGGGCAAATTTTGCCGGGGCTCTTCAGCATATAGCCTCTTCTTTCTTCGGCAATAGCCTCACAAAAATCGCTCGCGAAAATTTTACGTTTACTCAGACATTTGTAAAAACGTAACACGTAAACGAGCAACGATCCCTTGAATCGCTACCCGCATACCTGCACAATTTTTGCAAATGTCCAAGCACAAAACACTTTTTAATTTCACTTCACTTCACTTCACTGCACTTTCACTTTAATACTTCATTTTTGTAATCGGGTCTAGTACCACGACTACGACTTACAAACTAATAAGGCTTGGCCTTGAAAAAATCAAGAGAGAATGCTAAATTAATTAATTGATCAACTAATTAATTTGCATTTTCATTTTTCCTCTCGATTTTTTAATTTCCAACCCCAGATACAAGCTTCTCACGTATTAGAGGAGAATACGAAGAGAAACATGAAAGCTTGCTCTGGCCCTGCCTACTTATAAACTAAACTCAATCACACCAGAAGTAAACTACCTGCCTGCCTATCGCTATATTTAAAAAAGGGCAAAAATCATTCTCACAAAAATTCACTCCACGGTTCTCATACAACCACCCGGGTGCAAAAATGCCTACACCTAGAGAGAACGTCCCGGGACGCCTCCGACACCCGAGTTCAATTCAACTTTCACACTCTAATAAAATCATACCTTTTTGCTGAAATCGACTGACAAATAATAGTGAACATTATGCTAAAGTAACACATTTCATTTTCGTATTCTATTGAATTATCTAATGTAAAAATTTTTCAATTTATTCTTGATAAGTATTTTATAATGTTATAGTAAGTTAAAATTGTTAATAAACGATACAAATCCCACATCCTAACCACACACACACATGTGGAATTTCTATCGAGGTTCACTATTGGTTCACTACTTTTGTCAGTCGCCAAAATGTATTACACTTAAAACTAAACCTTGTCCACCGCCCTCCACCCACGCGAGTACATCTAAGTACCCGAATGAGTTTTGGGCATAAAAATGAACAAGGCCAAAGGTATTTTCACCTACCAGTTTTCTTCATGTGTGCTGAAATGCCTAAGCTAAAACGTATCATTAGCAAAAACTAAAGATGATATTCTCACTTTATTAAAAGTAAGAATATCGGCGAAATTTCACGGCTCCGATTTAGTATATGGGCTGGCCCCCCCAGGGGGTTTTATTTTTAACAAAAGTGACTCGACTTTGAAAATATAAAGCTCGAAGAGCAAATACAGAAAAGCAAAATTGAGCAACTATGACATAAAACATGGTGCACTGCTAATATCAGTTGGCAACGGAGGTTCTTAGGCCACCTGGACTTGCGCCCGACGCTACATACCACCCACCCCGCCTGGACGTCGTAACGCCAGGACAGGATGCACCCCTTCGCTAAGAGCGCTACCCGCCCGTCCAACACGTTGCATCCAACGGTGTCAGATTGACGGACGCCCATAGTATAGACAAAAGGACTACAGTTTAGAATATGGTAACATATTTTCATATGTTCCGTATTCTAAAGCTGCGCCTGCAAAGGCCTAGTAATGCATGGGTTTATCTCCCATGAGATGGTGTTTCACGGTCTTATGCCGCGGAATCCTTGTAACTAATTTGATTGAAGAAATAAAATATTGGATTGAGTTTAAAAACCAAAAGGATTCCCACCAAATACTAGTCAGTGCATTGTCATATTTACTCTCGCGTTGGAAATTTTTCGCAACACTAATTAAAATAGAAAATCCTGATCTAAAAACATGACTAGTACATAAACATCTAACGGGGTAATATTTCACTATGCTGGGGTATGCGGGTGGATAAATGATTATGTGATAGAGTTCGTGATGCTGAAGTGTAAATGATGAGTGTTTAGGGTCGAGAACTGTGAACGTGACAGAATGAATTTGAAGTACGAACGAGAAGCTTTCTACAATGCTTGAAGAGCAAATACTGAAAAGCAAAATAGAGCAACTATGACGCAAAAACGGTGCACTTCTAATATCAGCTGGCAACGGAGGTTCTTAGGCCCCCTGGACTTACGCCCGACGCTACACACCACCCACCCCGCCTAGGAAAGGATGCACCCCTTCGCTAAGAGCGCTACCCGCCCGTCCAACACGTTGCATCCAACGTGTCAGATTGACGGACGCCCCTAGTATAGGCAAAAGGACTGCAGTTTATTAAATGGAACATATGGATGTGCGCCACATTCTAAACTGCGCCTTGAAAGGCCTAGTAATGCATGGTTTTATCTCCCATGAGATGGTGTTCACGGTCTTATCCCGCGGAATCCTTGTAACTAATTTGATTAATTAAATAAAACATTGAGTTTAAAAACCAAAAGGATTCCCACCGAATACTAGTAAGTGCATCGTCATAATTACTCTCGCGTTATTTTTCGCAACGCTAATTAAAATAGAAAATTCTGATCTAGCAACATGACTAAAGGGGAGCTTTAAATTATGCTTGAAGAGCAAATATTGAAAAGCAAAATAGAGCTAATATGACTCAAACATTCGTCCACTGCTAATATCAGCTGGCAACGGAGGTTCTTAGGCCCCCTGGACTTACGCCCGACGCTACATACCACCCACCCCGCCTGTTAAGGCTCTAGGCCCAGGCAGGGTGCACCCCTTCGCTAAGAGCGCTACCCACCCATCGAACACGTTGCATCCAACGTGTCCGAGTGGTGGACGCCCATAGTATAGGCAAAAGGACTTTAAGACAGCTTAGCGTATGGGATGCAACATACTTAAATGTTCCGTACTCTATGGCTGTGCCTGCAAAGGCCTAGTAATGCATGGTTTTATCTCCCATGAGGTGGTGTTCACGGTCATATGCCGCGGAATCCTTGTAACTAATTTTATCAAATAAAAACCAAAAGGATTCCCACCGAATACTAGTCAGTGTATAGTCATATTTACTCTCGCGCCGGAAATTTCTCGCAACACTACTTAAACTTGAAAATTCTAACTGGGTAATATTTACTCTCGCGTTGAAAATTTTTCGCAACACTACTTAAACTTGAAACTCCTTATGGGGTAATATTTACTCTCGCATTGAAAATTTTTCGCAACACTACATAAACTTGAAAATCTTTACGTGGTAATATTTACTCTCGCGTTGAAAATTTTTCGCAACACTACTTTAACTTGAAAATCCTAACGGGGTAATATTTCACTACACAAGGGTATGCGGGTGGATAAATGATTATGTGATAGAGTTCGTGAGGCTGAAGTGCGAATGATGAGTGTTTAGGGTCGAGAACCGTGAACGTGACAGAATGAATTTGAAGTATGATCAAAGAGCTTTCTATAATGCTTGAAGAACAAATACTGAAAAGCAAAATAGAGCAACTATGACGCAAAAATGGTGCACTTCTAATATCAGCTGGCAACGGAGGTTTTCGGGCCCCCTGGACTTTCGCCCGACGCTACATACCACCCACCCCGCCTAGAACAGGGTGCACCCCTTCGCTAAGAGCGCTACCCGCCCGTCCAACACGTTGCATCCAACGTGTCAGATTGACGGACGCCCCTAGTATAGGCAAAAGGACTGCAGTTTATTAAATGGAACATATGGATGTGCGCCACATTCTAAACTGCGCCTTGAAAGGCCTAGTAATGCATGGGTATATCTCCCAGAGATGGTGTTCACGGTCTTATGCCGCGGAATCCTTGTAACTAATTTGATTAATTAAATAAAACATTGAGTTTAAAAACCAAAAGGATTCCCACTGAATACTAGTAAGTGCATCGTCATAGTTACTCTCGCGCTGGAAATTTTTCGCCACACTAATTAAAATAGAAAATCCTGATCTAGCAACATGACTAAAGGGGAGCTTTAAATTATGCTTGAAGAGCAAATACTGAAAAGCAAAATTGAGAAAATATGACTCAAACATTCGTCCACTGCTAATATCAGCTGGCAACGGAGGTTCTTAGGCCCCCTGGACTTACGCCCGACGCTACATACCACCCACCCCGCCTGTTTAAGGCTCTAGGCCCAGGCAGGGTGCACCCCTTCGCTAAGAGCGCTACCCACCCATCGAACACGTTGCATCCAACGAGTTCGAGTGGTGGACGCCCATAGTATAGGCAAAAGGACTTTAAGACAGCTTAGCGTATGGGTTGCAACATACTTAAATGTTCCGTACTCTATGGCTGTGCCTGCAAAGGCCTAGTAATGCATGGTTTTATCTCCCATGAGGTGGTGTTCACGGTCTTATGCCGCGGAATCCTTGTAACTAATTTTATCAAATAAAAACCAAAAGGATTCCCACCGAATACTAGTCAGTGTATAGTCATATTTACTCTCGCGCCGGAAATTTTTCACAACACTACTTAAACTTGAAAATGCTAACGGGGTAATATTTACTCTCGCGTTGAAAATTTTTCGCAACACTATTTAAACTTGAAAATCGTAACGGGGTAATATTTAACCTCGCGTTGAAAATTTTTCGCAACACTACTTAAACTTGAAAATCCTAACGGGGTAATATTTCCCTACACAAGAGTATGCGGGCGGATAAATGATTATGTGAGGCTGAAGTGCGAATGATGAGTGTTTAGGGTCGAGAACCGTGAACGTGACAGAATGAATTGCAAGTTCAAAAGGGGAACTTATACAATGCTTGAAGAGCAAATACCGACCCCTCTGGGGGCCAGCCCATATACTAAACTGATGCCAATTTCACGAGTAAAATCGGAAAAACGTTTCAATTTCAAGAGCGATTTCGTTATCAAAGTAAGTAGTTATAATAATTAATAGTATTCATGCTTATTACTTTGATATTGAAATTCGCTCATCGCGAAATAAATTCTTGTACATATAAAAAAGAAAATGTATTGTGAAGTCGGAGGGTCATCCGACTTCTCTACATTTTTAAACTCGAAATCTATATATGTAAATATGTACAAGAAAACCCTATCCTGAGCTAAGGCATAAAATACACAAAAAAGCAATTTGCACGATTATCATTGTATAAAATGATACAGTGATATTCGTGAGTCACTATGCTCACTCAAAAAATAAAAATTACAACCAATTCCCGTGTCGCTACGGACCATTCGTCCTACGACATGATGGGAACCGGAGGAACTTTAAAGCATGCGACTCACCGATCGTTGACTTGCACCACTGCACTCGCCACGCATCTTATTAGCTCGTCTGTTGGCTCGTTAAAGAAACGGTATCCCCACTGGCCAAAGCACTCATCTGAAAACATAAAAATCACGATTCTTGAAGGATATATGTTTTCTCTCAATTTGTTGTAGTTAATATGCTAATACATAGGATAATTCAAAAATATGCATGCAAAACTATATGGGAATAACTACACCATAAAACACGGTAAAACACATGCAAATACATCCCAAAACACTTGAAGATCAATACCATAGAACACTATAAAATATTTGCAAAATTATAGTAAAACACATAGGGTACCAATCCATGAAATCTACTAATAAATCCGTATAAATATGCCAAAACACAAAGGGTACTATTCCATAAAACCCACTAATAAATCCGTATAAATATGCCAAAACACATAGGGTACCACTCCATAAAATCTACTAATAAATCCGTAAATATATGCCAAAGCACAAAGGAAACCACACCATAAAACACAATAATGCACATGCAGGTACATGGGGTACCACACCACAGAGCACACTAATGCACTTGTATAAAAATGTCAGAACACATGGGTGACTACACCATAAATCGCACTAATATATCCGTATAAATATTCCAAAACATGGGAAACACTATAGGAAACACCATAGGCACACACAGTAACACTTGTGGTAACACACTGATAAATCCATGCACGAATATCCATAGTGTCAACCCGTACCGGTATATGTTTGACAGCTCGATCCGTATCCTTCGGCGGTCGCGATAAGACTGATTAGATTTGACCTCTCTCCAGGTCGCGCTTGTACCGGCGCGCGGCGCGCGCAATCAAGCATGGCGTTCCGCTTTACCGGTTCCGCAAATTTAACTATTTCTATCTGATATTTGTTAATATTTGTTTAATTATTATTTTATATTTTACAATTGTTTATTAATCAAATTATTGTTATATCTATTTAAATTGTTTATTTCTTTACATTTCCGCGTGGGTATATTGCAAAATTTTGTTTAATTATTATATTAAAAATTATTTAATTATTATTTTTAATTTTACAATTGTTTATTAATCAAACGAACGAACTGCGCCCTACAGAATAAACGAGTAACTAAATTTCTGGTCTGTTTTACCTTGTTGACGTCTTTCGCGAATGAACAGTCAACGAAATCGTAGTTTTCAAATTACTTCTTCCTAGAGACTTGTACATCATCCCTTGGGTGCTCGTTTTGTTCTATCCGACCCAAAGAATGGTAGTCTGGTACCCATTTGGAGAAACTATTGGCAGAAATGTTAATATTACGAATAAACTGATGCAGGTGAGTCCGATCCGCCATTTTCTTGACGGTTGACATACATAAATTTCAATATTTTATAATCTTTTGACGATTTGGATAATATAAGGACCAGACTACCATTCTTTAGGTCCTCCTGGACATGTCCCTCAAATTTTTTTGCATTCTGTTTAGAAATGAGGACATAATTTGAAAACTCGCGTCTAGGGATTTTTCTAGGGTCTGTCGGTAAAGTTTTCGACGCTTGTTTCATACTGGTGATTATTTTCCTGACTCCGTCTGTCCATAGGCTTCCCCGGAAGCGTTCTTGAAAACAATGACAGTGTGAGAAAGAGGACCTTAGATATAAGGTGCTCAGCTATAAGTAGGCATCCTTTAGGAGGATGTCATTTATAACTTTTATAATATTTAACAATTGAAAATTATATTCCATTTTTCCCTGAGAAAGCCTACTTTGCTGGGTACTATATGTTACAGGTGACTACAGATTTATGTATGCAGTTGGTAAATTATCAAGTAGTTTCCGCTGTTTCCCGAAAGGTAGCGCTGGTATTTCCGTTTTGGATTGGTAAGTTGTTGAGTAGTTTCCGCCGTTTTCGTATAGATGGCGCCAGAGTCGAATTCGAAGTCATAGCGGTTTTTTAAAATACAAATTTGTCAAATAATTATTTCTATAAAGAGAGTCAAAATCTTATCGTTTATAGTTTTAACTTACGTCGGTATTTTAGAATGTGGGAGACGAACTTTCGTAAGATGATATATCTATTCTCAGTTTCTTTCCATTTACTCCTATATTTTTATTCACTATATGATCACAAAGTGAGAGACCTCTTGAATCAGCTGACGATGAGAGGCGCGAAACAAGTAATCGAATAACCGCGTAATCTGAAACTCACAATTTTATGTACTGTTTGATGTTAACACTTATATGCAGTATGAAAAGAATCATATGAAATATAAAAAATAAACCAACTCATCTGTATTATTGCAATGTAGGTGTGGAGGATCGAACACGATGGAATTCAACAATCTTCATCCTTCTTTTTTTTAAAAAACTGTAATTATTATTAATCGTAATAATATGATTATTGACAATGACGCGGCTATGTGCACATTAAAACACCTTAATCCGTATCTTACAAGACCAGCTTTTCTTTTACATTATATACAGTAGCTAAATATTGTATTATTTCACTTTGCAATATAATAAAACTATTTATATATTTATATATTTATATATGCACGTATGTGTCCTGAATCGTTGTAAGCATCCACATCAATTAATTTTTTTTTTTTTATTCTGCAATATGGATACGTACAACGAATTATGAGAAATTCATTGTTATCGGGTTTTCTATGCTTAGCGTAAGTAAGAAACGAGTCGAAATTATAACGATTCCGCTTGGCTCTCCTTCCTCTGTACAACGCAATAGGCTCCGCTTATCGCCGACAAGTATTCTCTCCGGCTTCCAGGGCGTACAATGTTATTCCTCTTCTCAGAAATATACGATTAATAATCAATTAACATTTTCATTTGATCCTAGAACCAGTCGATCTTCATTTATCAAACAATTAAAATTACAATCTGATTTTTGTCTTTTCTTATCCATAGATGATTCTATTATTTACAAGCTCAATAACTGAATATTTTTTTGTAACTTTCATGTAAAATCAATGGTACAAACAACAAAAATATACATGATCAAAAAGAAAAACTTTGAAGCAAACGCGAACGACTTCGAGCGAGACAATCATGTACTTTTACTAGGTCAATCTACATACACATATAATTCCTGTATCTCCAACGCTTTTATACAAAATATAGAATAAAAATGTGTGTTACATTGCAGAGATCCTTGAGCTAAGTGTAAGGTAACTGAAGTGTTTGCACATTCTAAATTATTTAGTGAACAAGATCAGACACTCAAATATTAGTCTATGTATTTTCTAGCGTATTGCACCGTCTTCTATAATAATTTATTACAATCCATTAAAAACGCTTTAGATCAAATAAACAGTTTCTCTATATACATTCATTTGCCAGGAGAATCTGCCACTGTTCGAGTCAATTTTGCAACAAATACAGTTTGGAAGAGATGTACAAAACACTCTTAGCGTTTTCATGATCAATTGTGTCGCTATGAAGATTTCATCAAATGAAATCCTATACATAGTAGGTAACAAGATATAAAAGTGACGATTTGATCACTGTTTCAAACGTTAGAACGTTTCTCTCAGATGATTCGCTTGTACAGAATATCGTATCATAAATTCCTCACCGTTGTTCATCAATAATTTAAAACAAAAGAAAAGGCAATCATACTGTTTAGCTCAGGAATCTCTCGCTTGTCGGATACGGTACTTCTAAATAAGGAAACTCTGTAAAAACGTGATACATATATGAAAAAAGAAAATACAGGAAAACTATCTCTAAATCTACAGATGTGTTGCGTACCTCTGAAAGTAGCATACGATACACGACTTAAATACAAGTTAACGTTCAACGCGAACAAATGGCAATTCCTGTCGTATGCGAACAAAATGAAGAATTGACTGGATCTAGGGTCAAAGTTGTATACCGGTCCGCGCAGAGAAATTCCGTACCCCGGATTCCGAGCATAGAAATGTTTCCCTTGGTCGCAACAGCGAAGGAGGAAGCAGAAACAATTATGTTTTCTCCACCAAAAAAAGGAGGAAGATCCTTCCTCTGTCGCTGGCGCCACGACGGAGGGTCCAAACGAGGACAAACATTATTTTTCCAACACACCGCACACTCTAAAATCGAGCATGAACGATATTTACGCTTACTATGTTTCTCAATATAGTCCTTTAACGAACATCCAAAAGGACATTCACCATGTCCATGTTATGCAGTCGTCTTGAATGATACATGTGAATAAGATTACTTTACAAATATCAAAGTAAAAACGTAAAAACTTAAAAAAAAAAAAAAAAAAAAGAGCGAACGAACTACATCTTGTTACAATAAACTATATACTATCGTATAAAAACGTATCTCAATTCTGTATAGAACTTATTTACACTATAGAAAGAATAAATTATTAACATTGTACTTTGTGTAAAATATACTTCATACATATATATATATATAATATATAATATCAAAATGAATGGATAAAAACGATGACAAATGCGTATTGACAGTTTTTACGAATTTCCTTTGATAAAAATAATAATTACACGATCTAAGTAATTCTGTAATTTTGAATACACAAGACGACTGCATAATTATGGACAATTCGAATTATTGCGACAAAGAGACTATAAGATTAATTCGTCTAATTCGTCGAAGAAGCTGTTGCTGAGCAACAGGATTGTCCTCGTATACGATAAATTACATTTTCTTCGGATTTCTCCGCCCGAACGTCTACTACTTTAATTGTTTTCTTTATATACTATTTTCTATTGTAATATTCAACCGACGGCCTCGTTTTAAAGGGGGGAACAGGAAGGGAAAGACTCGAGCAATCCAACGGTTGGGGGATACTGAACGTTTCTGCGCGGCCCAGGATTAATTTGCCTGGAAGATCGGACCGCGTGGTAAAACACAGCCATCACGTAAGCTTCGCACTGATTATAAAATCTTTCACGCTCATTTTCTCCCTTTCTCACCCTTAACATACACGTACATACACACACATACACAACACTCTCGCGTGCGTTCTTTCTCCTCGACTTAAACTAAATACAATCGTAAATTACAAGTATGTACAATTAACTAGTCCTTACTGCGAAATTAATGACGAGGCCGTTTACGAAGTTTATCTCAAGAATTCTTTTCTATCTCGTTCTTTCAGTACGTACATGTTACACGCATGGTGTTGCTGAAAAGAAAAAATAAAGAAGAAGAAGAGGAAACTTTGTAAACGAAAATTAAATTGAAATATTTCATACGATATCAGTTCGATTCTTCGATCTTCGTCAACGGCCTCGACAGTACTCTTCAATCAGATTTTTCTCAAGGAAAAAACAGACATCTCGTCGTCGCCGCCGCGAAATGGCACGCCCGTTCTCGTCTCTCGAGTATTGTTTAGTGTTCTTTTTGTAAGAATAAAACCGAATGTTCTCTCGAGGAGCATAGGTTCTTTCTTCGTTTAACCGTCGGAGAATGTCCTTTGAAGCGAGTCCGAAACGAGTATATCTTAGAAGTTGCTACCACCTTGTTCCCTCTCTTGCCGAAATCATCGTTTCTTATTGTGTTTCTGTTGCCGTAAGAAGGTGAAGTTTATTAAAAGAAATTCATTAATTAATGTGAATAAAGAATAACGAACTTGCTTGTGTATATATATGCATAACATAACGTAATAATAAAAAATAAAAACATAATTTATAAATACTATCAACAGCGCAAGTACTCTTTTCATATATATATATATATATACAATCTGATAAAATCTTGCTAGGAAATGGTAAAAAAAAAAAAAAATGCTGTATCAAATGGATTTAACATATCGTAGGTCTAGTGGGATCAACATATTCTTATCTATCTTATAACTTTAGCAAATCTACCAATTATTGATTTATTTACAAAATAAAATTTCTCATGATCAATGATTTTCATTAATAAAATAAGGAAAAGAATTATTTCAATAAGCCACTCGTTTGATTTAAAACCATGGTGTTTAAAAAAAAAAAAAAAAAGAAATATGATGGTTTAGATTTTGGTCCCAGTAAGCCAACGATACGATTCAACGGATGATATAAAATTGTCTTGTAAGAATAAGGTAGTACCTCGATTATTTTGGGGCCTGTACAAATTGCGGAACGCTTTATCACCTTATCACGGCAACGTGCTTTCACAGCTAGCAACCGGAAACAAGCGTGTATCGAGTCCTTTTCTTTATAGACTGTAAACATCGTACAAGCACCGTGTGTGTCCTCTGCTTCCGTTACTCCACGAGTATCATTAATTATCACCTAACTTGGCATCCTTGTGGTATACTTGTCGCGGCAGGACACGCGGAGGAGTCTCTTTGCACGGAACTATTGTTCTCCTCCTCTTCCTCCTCTTCCTCCTCCCTAGAGGATTCTTCCTCTTGGCTTTTCACCGGTGGATCTCTCGTCTCCTCGTTCGAAACATCGGAACATCGCGGTTTCTCCGTAATTAAAGCGGACTCCTCGCCATGGATCGGCGAGCCCTTCAGCTCGTAGCCCTCCTGACAACGCGTCAATTTTAACCTGATCGGCGTGACCTTGGCCGAACGAACGTTCCTAGGCGCACTGCCGCCAGTGTCCGGATCGGTAGGCTGTTTCTCTTCTATATTGGCAGCGACTGCCGGGTAGACAGGCTCGTCCTTTGCCGGTTCTGGAGGTGGAGGACCTACTCTACTGTCAGTCGGATGTCGTTCCTCTTCCTCCTCCTCCTCTTCGTCCGAGAGCATGATCGGTAATTCGTCCGGAGAGTCATTGCCTTTGCCCAGCGTTATGATCAATTTCGGTGGGGCAGCACCACCTTCGAGGATACGTACCCTGGCCTCCTTTCTACTCGACTGCCGTTTCTTTCGCTTTCCATTTTTATCCTTCTTACTTTTAGCTCGCAGTTTCTCGTCGTTGTCGAAACCGGCCATGATCATGCGTCTGAACTTCATGCTCTCTCTGCGCAGCTCCTCGATGCTAGGCGTGCTGCTAGGAATGCTGCTCAGCCGTTTCTTAGGCGGTCTAATCCTAGTCCTGTCGTCCTGGCCACTCTCCTGACCACCGATTATGCTATTGCCGATTTTGATTTTCAGTTTTGGAGGACCACTGTTGGTGGTAGTGGTCGTGGTGGTCGTTGTCGTTGACCTGCCACCACTGCTCTGCCTTCCTCTCCTACGGTCCGCGTTTCCAACGGCAGCGTTACCGCTGGAACCAGCACCGTTCGCGGCACTGCCCCGTCTCCTTTCGACACCTCCCTCTTCTTCGTTGGCGTCCAAGAAGCCGGCGGGTCTTTCTTTTCTCCTCTTCTTCTCCATGTTCGCATCGACGACCGCTTTGTAGTCCTCCCTGGTAGGTATAGTGGTCATGGAGGCGACGGCTTTAGGTATGGTTATGACTGTGCGATTGATCTGTGGCACGATGATCGGCGCGGACGTCGCGAGATTCCCGCAGCCTGGCTCGTCCATGTTCATATCCTGAGAACAATACTGTCTGAGTAGCTCCTTCTTCCGCATCCGCCTGAGGTTCGAGGTGCCGGAAGCGACGGAAGCACTGGTGGCAGCCGGAGCGATTATCACGGGTGCTTGTTGAGCGAGCGGTGGTACCGACGAGGCAGGAACATAGTTTGCATCGAGGAACGGACCTTTGATCTTCACCTTCAATTGATTTCTAGAATCCGTCAAGGAGACCTTGTTGGCCTCTACGAAACCGGACGACGACGCGTCGATGCTCGCGTCGAAGTTCGGCTTCGAACAGTCTTCTTGACTCTGTTTGCCTATCAGCGCGGATCTTAACTCCTTCTCGAGGTCCTCCTCGATATCCGGAAGAGCAGGGTCGTTCACCGAGACACCCACGAAGGATCCCAGGAAGTGATTCTCGTACGTCGGACCGTGTAGTGTGGAAGAACTTGAAGCGTCGAGGGTAGAGTTGTACGTTCTCATGTCGACGGGACCAGGAATGACCGGTAGGACGGTATCGAAGCTCTGTCCAACGTTTGACTGGCTCTCGACGACGGTGGAGTCATCGTGACCCGGTGAACAAGAGAGTCTCCTGTCATCCAGGTACTTCCTAGTGCCTCCAGGACTGGATAGTCTGGATTGAATACTTTCTCCGGAAGCCATGACAGCGGAATCTCTCCTCTCGATACCTGCTGCCGCGGCGTCCGTCGACTTCTTCCGCTCTCTCATAGTACGTAAGTCGGCGATGTTCGCCTCACTGGTGGAATCTTCGTCGGAGTCAAAGTCATACACTGTACCGACTAGTTTGTTTTGAATGGAGTCATCGTGTTGACTAACGCCCACACCGGAGACCAGTGTTAGTCCCGCGTTCTGACCGCTTCTACCTCGTCCCCTGCCTCGGCCTCGTCCTCGTCCCCTGTAACCCGAGTGTTGGGATGAATTCTTAGCCCCTCTGCCTCGTCCTCGTGCCCCAGGAACGCTCTTCTGGGCCTCCTGCCTCGGAGACTTCCCTGGAGACTTTCCTTGCAGGGACGTAACCCGGGCTGATGTCCTGGTAGGCTTTGAAGGTGACTTCTTTCCGGAATGGTTCTTCCCGTCGGGCAGAACTTCCTGCAGACTCTCGACGACGGTGTCGGCGACGTGGCTCTCTGGCGCTACGGTGTTCAAGAAATTCATAGGCAAGGTAGGTGATTCGGTGACCTGAGTTTCCAATTGTTGCTGTGTCCTCTCGATGGTTTCTGCGGGTGGAGCGGTAACTTGTGGTGGTGGTGGAGGTGGTGGCGGTGGTGGTGTGGCTATTTTGGTAGGCGAGACCATGGCTGCGGTGAGCGCCATGTTGTGCGAGCAAGACGTGAACGCTGCGGTACATGGTGAAGCCTGTAGATTCAACGAGTCCCCCAGTGGTTTCACGTGCGACAACAACGACTGTGCTGCTGGAAAAGCTGCCCCGAATGCCGGTGGAAAAAGGGCTGGCCCGGGTGAGGGATACGGTAACGGCGCCGCGCACGACTGCGGCGGAAACAGACTTACCGGCCCGGTACCGTAGCTCGAGTCCGCTATATACGATGCTTCCATCGAGCACGGTGGAAAAGGAATGCCCGCTACGCTTTTGTACGGTGGAATGGAATGATCCTCTGCGGATGATGCGGAAGTGATCGAAGAAGATGTAGACCTTCGAGACGGTAACACTTGACTCTCTGCCCATCGGGTATCCGGACGGCCATTCAAATCATTGTAAGGTGAATTATGATCGTATTCCTGCTGCCTGACGACATCTTCCTCTTTCTCGAGTACTCTGTCCATCATTTCAGCAGCCTGGTCGTCCTCCGATGCTGGCAATCCAATCAAATGCCTGTTCACCATCTCCATAGGGTTCTCTTCGGATATCTGTTGATTAAGCATCGTTCTTTCATGAGCTTCCTGTTGACTATGGAGAATCGAGTGCGATTGCTGTAGAAGATATTGTTCCTGTATACTTGGCGCGTTCAAATGAGTACGCGCAAGCGCTTCGGTTTCTTGAATGGATTCATTGGGGAACTGGTGGTTGCCGTATCGATGATTCTGCGTCTCCATTAAAGCATTTAGGTGTTGCACGTCGCTGGGTTCGAAACTGTTTATGCTCGGTGGTACCCATCTCTCGTCGGTCTCCGCTCTATCGAGCTTCGCTCGTTCCACCAGGCTCACTTTATTCGCACCGCGATCCTCTTCGTAGGCCGCGTATCTATCGTTACCACTAGAGTAACACGTCTTTCGTTTCTCTTCCATCGTGTTCTTACAGCTACTGGGATGTGCTTCGTTAGGGATTATCTCTTCTTCAGGAATCTCAACACTGTTCTTCACGTTCATAACTGGTTCTATGGACTCCAGAATCTTCACCTCCTTTTCCTGTTGCTGTTCATGCTGCGGTTGATGCTGTACTTGTAACTGTTGTTGTGGCTGTTGTGGTTGTTGTTCGAAAATCTTCTCAATCGGTGGTTCCTCTTTTTTGATTTCGCCGTCTACAGGTACTGCCTCTAATTCAAACTGACTAGAATTTGATTTCTTCGAAAGTTCCATACGCAATTTCTCCACTAGATGGAGGGTTTCACGAGCGCTGTCTTCCTTCGAATCTTCCTTGAACCACAGCTCGTTGTTGAAGGAGAAACTTAATGGTACACCACGTTCTTCAACGTCCCTGGATATACCGAAACCGTCCTCGTTCACCATCTCTTCTGTTAACATATCCTGATCAAAATCAAACAATTCTGAAACACTCGCATCTTTACCATGCTGCGGGGAGAAGATGGATCGGTTGCCGGATTTCCGTCTCTTTTGATGTTCCTTCTCCAGATTTTCAACCCTCTCTGAAACAGATCTAACATTCTCCTCCTCGTTATTCTCTTTTGGAACATTCTCTTCAACAGGTACATTCTGCAATTCAACATTCTGTGGTTCAACCGCATTCTCCAGATTCCTCTCGCATTTCTTCTTTCCAATGATAGATTTCTCTATCTGTGGTACATCAACTACATCCTTCTTTATTAGCTCCTCCGTATGTTCTTCCGATTTCGTTTTCTCCACAGCAACATCACTTTCGTTAACATGATTTTTATGATCCTCGTTTTTCACAGCGTCTTTCATGTGTTTACTTTCATTCAATGGCTGTTTTTCTTCCTTCTCCTCCTCGCAAACGGTCTTCTCAAGCTTCACCTCAGAATTTTTACTTCTAGACATCTTATCGTGGTGTTCGCGTTTCTCCAAAAGCTTGTCCAAACCTCTCAATGATTTTTTAGGGCTATCCCTTTCTGCTCTACGTTGTTTCATCTCTTCTTCCAAGATATTGATCGCATTCTTGTCACTGAACTTTTTGACTTTCTTCTCTTCCATTTTCGAACAACTTTCTACAGATTCAATAACCTTCGCTTGATCCACGACCGTCTGTTCGTCCTTAGTCTCCCCCTCGTCTCTCTTCTCGCTCTCCTTCACAGACAGCTTGTCGTTCAGCCGCTTTTCCGGTTTTTTAATCGCCTCCTTCCCGCTCTTCTCATCCTTCGCAACGGATTCGTTCGGTTTTCGCTTTCTGCCTTCGGACTTATTTTTCTTCTCTTCCTTTCTCGGCACGGGTTGCTGTTTACCAGCTTGACCCGACTTTTTGGCAGGTCTGGACCCAGAAACACTTCTTGACCCATCATGATCTCCAGGCCCAACGAGCAGATCCTCATCAGCCTCCGTTCCTGTTGCTGGTTGCTTTTTGTTATCTCTTTGATCTTGCTTTTTGACGCTTGCTTCTTGTTGCTGAGATTGTTGTTGTTGCTGCGACTGTTCCTTGGAGATTCGACGAGATTCCTCTCTCTCAGTAGGCGGCTGAAACTCTGGTCCCCGCCGCCCGTCGGAAGTTTTAAGCTTCTTCTCGGGCAGCTTCTTGAGTTTCCGCCCTGTAACCGTCTTCCTCTCAGCCTCTTGTCGTTCCGGCGACGTTTTACTGGCTTGCTGTCTTTTGTTCGCTGCGGTCGGCGTACTCGTGACCGTTTTACTCTTCGCCCTGTTACCTGTGTCGCTCTCGGAAGAAGAACTAGAAGAGGAACCGTCCATGAACTCGTCCGAAAGTTTTCTACGACCTGGATTCTCGGAGTCGCTACTACTCTCTGTGGAACTACTGCAACTATTGCTACTGCTGCTACTATCACTGTTACTCGAAAGTACCGAGGATTTTCGTTCGCTAGGTTTCCTGGGCCTTCTTGAACGATTGTCCTTGGAAAGGATCTCTTCCTTCCTCGAAGAAGAATCGTCCTTTTTCGAGGATAATTCTTCTTTCCTAGAAGCTTCCTCCTTTCTAGAGGACAACGAGGAAGAAGACGACGAAGAGGAAGAGGATGAAGAAGACGAAGAAGAAGAGGATGACGACGACGACGATGAGGATGTTTCTTCTTTCCTCGAAGAAAGTTCTTCCTTTCTAGATGGATCATCCTTTCGAAGTTCTTTCTTTTTACCACTCTCCGGGGATTCTTTCTTTGATCTACCATCCAGGGTTTCTGGTTCGACTTGCTGGGTAGGCTTACTGCCCATACCACTTTTTATATGCTCGGCAGCTTTTTTCGCAGCTTGTCTTTGCGGCACATATGCTAAAATTTCTGATCCGTCTCCGAATTCTTTATCAAAATCGTAGACGTCGTTATTCTTAATCTCTTTAGACGGTTTGTTTTCCCTCTGCTTCTTAGGAGGACTTTTGTCTTTTGATTGCTTCGAGGAGGAGCACTTTGAAATCTCCTCAACTGGAGATTTAACTATTTCCGGATTAGAATCAGGCACTGGATTTTCTTTTTTATTTTGTTGTGTGCGCTGCATGATTTCCGAAGCCTTCTTCGCTGCTTGCCTTTGTGGTACGATTAACGCGGATGGTATGTATTCTTTCTTTTTAGTACTAACTTTACTTTGATTCTCTTTATTCTTCATTCCAGTATTGTGATAAGTGGATTCCGAATGCCTGGAGTCTTTGCCGAAAGCTTTCTGAGAATTTTTCGATAGATTCGCCGCGGAGAATTCTTTAACAGCCGCTTTTGTTATTAACACTGCTGAATGAGACGTATGTTCTTGAGAATCCGAGTCTGTATCCGAGTAAATAGCCGAAGCGACGAGATGCTTCGTCGCTCCAGCGTTTAACGTTAACAATTCGTCGCTTTCACTACCAGAAGCACTTCCTAATTCTTTTTCCATATGTTCGAGCGTGTGTGATCTACTATTCACAAGTTTTTCGTTCTCACTGTTTTCTTTAAGCGTCGAATGTAACTTATCCGTTGAACGAACAGTCTTTTTCGCTTTTCTACGCGATAATTTTTTCGACGGAACACTGGTGGTCTCTTCCTCGGTACTCGAATCACTTTCAAGTTTCAGATTCTTCGACTTGTCGGGTGTTTTCGCTTTAACCGCATCCGTTTCACTACTACTGACAGACGATAAATCACTGCCGTATAGGTTCTTTCTCCGGACGGAGCCGTTGAAATATAATTTTTTACTAGAGGCACCATTGAAGTCCTGTTGTTGTTGCTGTTGTTGCTGCTGTTGTTGTTGCTGCGATTTCCTCTCGTCACTAGTCGGAGAGTCTATGCCAGCGATCCTGGCGACTATCGTGTCGAAGTCGTGAGTGTGATCCTCTGAATCGGGATGCGAGTAGAGCCGGTCGTAAATCGAAGGCCCATGGTTTGCTTCCATTACGGCTGCGGCTGCTGCAGGTGGTAGAGGTGGCCCGGACATTACTAAAGCTTGCTTGTGAAAAGTCTGCTCTCGCAGTCTGAGGAAGGATCGACAGAGTTTTTCTCTTCTGCCAACCATATAGCACAGGTTTCTGACTCTTTCCAAGTCTTGGCGGAGTTGAACGAACGTTCTCATCTTCTCCAGATCGGCTGCTTGGCCCTGATTGCGTGATCCACTACCAGAAAGTTCTCCACAACGAGGTGCCAATAAAGGTTTGTTATGGCCAGCCTGTAACATGACATAATAAATTAAACGTATTTTATTTTTATCGATGCTTTTAATTAATACGTTATTTTTCTTAACGATACTTACCCTTCTTTTGAGCTTCCAATAGTTGTATATGTAAACAATGCTTTCAGGGTCTACATCCAATTGCTGTGAAGCAATATCCTTCAAACTCACGTGTTTGTCGAATTCTGCTTCAATTTCTTGTAATCTAATGATGAGAAAGAAATTTCGTTTAATACAACAAAAATCCTAAATCAAAGAAAAATGACAAAGGAGAATTGTAAGTGATGTAGATTAAACGTACTTTGCAGCACGTGCTTGATTTTTCTCTTCAGAAGTCATATCCTTTCTCTTACGTCTCCTAGATTCTGCATCCTCAGAGTCTGATCCTGCTTTATCAGCTCCACTTCCTATACTGCCTCCAGTGCCCTGAACTTTATCTTTTGTATTTGTTCTACTATGTTTCTGGCAGTAAGACTGTAAACAAAATTTTAATATTAAAAAATGTATAATTTTTTTTATATTTTAATGTAATTCTTGAATCGATTAATACCCTTAATTTTACTCCATCGTCAGCCATTTCATCCTCAATGATTGCCTTCATTTCCAAGCCATATTTGAAGGCACACGTTACGTGATAAGCTGTTTTACACGTCTTTATGCTACACTGGATGCAAGCACCAACCCTTTCTCGACATAATACACATATTAGAGCCCATCGACTTTGCTGTAATTCAAAATTTGCTATATGAATTTGAATTTACAAATCAATTTTCATTTAATAAGCTTATAAGTTTCCTTATTTAACATCAACTCTTATTAGCACCCAATATTTATAAATTACATAAATATATTGCATGTACCGGAATACTGGATATCTTAGTAATAGGTTCCATTCTTTCAACACAGCCAATGCTGACTTCTGGGATCCATAAAGCACAAGAAACATGAGCCCATTTTTGGCCACTACGAGTACACTTCATAGCACCACCTTTATTAGGACAAAGAACACAATCTGGTCGTTGACTTAGAGAACAAGTTCTGCATAACCATGAACCATCTGGTATTGAAGTAATTCCATAACATGCTTGATGCACACATATGTTGCAGCAGTCACAAAATACCATTTCATTTCCTTCCTCAGAGTCAGGCTAACAACAAAATTTTGTTATATGTTAAAACGAAAGAATTTACCTTAACGACTTTTTATAATAACATGATTAATCTATAAAACCAAATTACTAAGGAATATTATAACAGTATGCAATAAATATTTGCTGTAATACTATATTTGAAAGTAAATAATTCTATTTATAAGGTGACTGAAAAAAGCACTTACAGATCTACAAACATCACAGATTACGTTCTCGTCATATTCAATACCAAGACCTTCCTCATTCTTTACGATGGTTTGTATTCTTTCCCAACAACGAACTTCTAATTCCTCTATCACGCGTTCTAATTGTGATTCTGTGATAGGTAACTGACCAGCCTAAAATTACAAAGTATTTTAAAAAATTGCGAAGAAACATTTGTTACAACCCTTCTTCAATTAAAAGCTCCGATTAAATCAACCACAAATTGGTCTTTAACGGTGTTTTTATGATATTTAGTAAATATACCTGCGCACGTTCACCATTTAACACATCCAACCAAGCAATATCAGTATCATCAAGATCATAGGCACAAGCTTTTTCTGCTCGTGCAGGTGTTGTGCTTAAATGATGATCTTCCGGGTTGAAATAATCATCACGAGATATCCTTACGAATTTTTTAGGTCTATAAAAACATTGTTACCAAAGGAAATTACTAAAACAATTTAATGAATTAATCAAATGATACGAGCAACAATTTTAATTTTAAGTCTGTTAATGCAGAATATTTAAGTGTGTTTTCATACAAAGAATTACTTGAAACTTGTTAAGCTTTCTTTAAGCTTTCATTTAATTTACTTGAGAGAAAAACTTACAGTTTGAATTCACTGTGCTGCTTTACAGGTGTTGCTTGAGTGATAGTGACTGTTGGTTCAGGAAGGGAGTCTGGGTTAACAGGTACTTGAACACCTCTCTCCCATTCTTGCTTCCATTGATCAGTAATAACCCAATATTCGTTAGGACTTAATGGTTCACTGTCAGGTAATTTCATTGCGCTGATCAAATCCTTACGAAATAACTCTGCAGGAGCCTCGGCAGAGGAGCGATTGTATATACTAGAGATTTTGATGTCACTAAGAGGTCTGGGGGTCCAGGATGCCCCTCCTTGACTGGACGACGCCATCGTCTCCTCCTCTTCTGAGGGGCCCATGGTAGCTGCCAGCGACGACGAACCCGTCGCTGGACCCAGCCTACATTTGCGCCTTTTGATTGCGCCTGGGCAAGACGCCAAATCATTGTCGTTTCTATTTATTCGTTTGCCTCGCTGTGCCATTCTACTATACCAAGTGAGCTAGCGGTACGTGGCACGTGCAGGTGAGCCGCGCGCACCCTGGAAGATTTTGTTCTTGCAAATTATCCAAATAATTTTGATGAAAATAAAAACAAAAACATTCATTCGATTACTCACTACATAGTCGTCCATGTATTTATTATCTAGAAAGCGGATTCCTCTCGGAGCTGCAACAAGAAAGATACAGTTACTGTACTGTCCAATTTATAAATGAAAAAAGAAGAAAAACTTCAATTAGAAAATTTGTTTGAATAAGTATTAACTTTGTCTTGACACTATAAATGATCCCTTGTGCAAAACTGACAATTCTTTATAAATAAAGAAATATTTGTACAGCATTGTATTGTTTTAATAAAAATGTTACACAAAGTAAAGCTATCATGCTACGGTACAGTATTAGCATATATGAAGTCAAAATGAAAAGAAAACAATGTATAAATTCGATAAATTATGCATTATATCAAATAAGATAAAAATAATGATTGTTTACAAAAAAAAACATGAATAGAAAACAAGTCTAATCAATGAAAGTAGTATGTAAACATAACAGTAATGTATAGTACTAAATGCGTAAAAAAAAACAGGTGGATACAACTATTTAGTCATATATCATGTGATACACGCTATAACAATACTTATAGAACTAACAGGAAATACGATTACAAAAAAGAAAATATGAAATAAACATAAGCAACTAGTGTTCCACAGAGATCACAAGCGTAAGACACAAAGCATCCTTTCGCAAACTGAATTTCTAAAAGTAGCACTTGAGAATGAGAAGTATTCGATAACACAAATTCACAATTCTAACATCTAGCTCACAATAACAACTTCATATAAGAATTGTAACGACGCAAACACGTTTGAGAGCACAAAAATTGGACAAAAGGACTGATGGTATAGACCGATTGTATTGCAGGGGGTCTGCGGCCGTTGATCCTCGATGGCCGCCGCGGAGAGGTTATAAATGGGGCAGTCCAGCAGGAATAGTTATAATTGAAACGAAATCGTTTTCCCGTAACGGTATAGAGCCGTGAGTAGTTGGAAAAGCACAAGGATCTTCGAGAAACTGGTCGCCGTGGCGGGTGGCATGTAAACATTGCGACGGAGTTACTCCGCGGCGACGCTCGAGCGGCGCCGAGGCTCGACCGTGAAGAACCGCCGTACGACTTTCGATGACTCGACACGAGGAAGTCGAGACTCGCGGTCGAGAATAGACGTCTAGAAGAAGATCGGGCGGAGAGTCGAAAATGCTCACGGGTCCATTGGGCTGGTGGTGCTCCTGCTGGCCGACAACATTGACAATACAGATGGCGACAGGCTCGACTCGCACACGAATCTCGACACACACGTATAAACATCGGAACGCACACGCAGCCGTATTCAAATACACATGCAACCGGGTGTAAGTAAATACGCACACGCGACGTGAATGCACAGGTATGCACGAACGTGAATGTAAACGCACACGATATGGATACGAACACGCGAGCACAAGTTCGACACGCACACGCAAACATGAACACGCACGCGCGCACAAGATAGAACAAGAACGAAAGAGAGAGAAAAAGATAGAGATGGTTGGAAGGCAGTAAATGCCTTATTATTGATCTATCGACGGAGAGGGTGATTTCGCGCGCGATGATGCACGTGACGAATAATAGCCGGTACGTCTGATCGTGAAGGATCGAATTATTCTTCGATCGGTAGCTCCGAGATGGCAGTAGTCCGAGTACGCCTCTGTCACGGCAGCCTAACCAAGATGTCCTCATTAGCAATTCGAGTCGCAACCGCGACCAGCTCGATTTTACTCACTTCGTAGGCCGAGGGCTCCTGTCGAGCTTGCTCGACGCCCTCAAATAGCCTCCGTAAGGACACCCGATGGCTTTCTTCCTCGCGCGGTGCACCAAATCGATATTATATTTACATTAATGTGGATACTGCTGTTTGGCGCCATCATGCCTAAAAAAATAACTGTCTGAGCGCGGAGTCACGTGACCCCGCGACACGGTGAGATCTCAAGATTGCTTTTATCCATAGGCCACGAGAGGCTCTGGGAACGGAGCTGAATAAGAACCTGTGGCATCTTCACCACGTGTGTCTTTATAATTAAGTTTCTCTTTTAGCTATCGAAGATACATGAAAGATCAATCCAAGAAATATTATTCTTTTTTAAATATATCAATTCTTTGGTATTTCTTACATATGCCATTCACCCATAGCGTTTACTCTATTCAATCTCCTTGTTCCTTTCACTTCTTTTTTCTCCATAAAGAGATAGATACAGGAAAGACTGTAAAGATAAAAAAAAATTGACATTGATAATTATATAATTTCAGAAAATACATACTGTGCAGTTCACTTAATTCGAACACCTCACTAAGTCTAGGGAGATTCCTAATCATGAGTGTGATGCCCCTTAACAGCTTGCATCTTACTTCATGGTCATATACAGGGTGGACAAAAATATACGAACAAAATAATGATAATGTAAATGTATAGCATCGAGCATAGTAGTCTTCCCAGGGTTCCCGGTTCCCTACGAAAGCTTACTTTTCATCGGGCTTCGGGATTTCCGGTCAATCCGGAGACTTTTTAAGCTCCGCGGTCCTCCCCCTCGAAGTTTTCCCTTCCCAACAAGCACCGAGGTCCTAACATGCCCAATCCTCTTCGGTTCCCATCCCTTCGCGAAAGTGGTCCCGAGGGAATGACGAGATAGGAGTGGAGGCGCGATATATATAGATCTGTAGGCCCCCCCACCATTTGCCAATAGGCATTTACGCGGCAAAATTAAATTGAAATTTATGCTATTATTCTTATTTCTTAATTATATACTAAATTTTATAATATTTAGCAATTAAAAATTATGTTGTGTTCTTCTAAATCTCTTTTATTATTAATTTCGTCAAAATTGAGGTTTTAAGAATTTGTTTCCTTTATAACGCCATTTTTCCCAGAGAAGTCTACTCTTCTCGATGCTGTACAACAAGTTACTATACATTTACAGCAAAACTAAATAGCTATATAAAAGAGAAAGTACTTCAAGTTATATAGTCTAAATTCGATCTACTTCTGTTCTTGAAGTAAGTAATGTCAAAGTGGTACCATCGCGTAATTTGTAATACATTTTTGTTAAAGTTAAGTTAACAGAGGATATTAATAAACTGTAAGATCAATGAATTCTGCAGTCCTGAGTTAATTATTTGAAAAGTAAATGATAAATTTTCAAATAAGATTTTTAAAAAAATTGACGTTTGCTGTAAGATTGTTTTACATGGCAGAACACATATAGTATTTTATACAATTTCATTAAGATTTTTAATCAAAACTTACAATGGATGATCAGCAATTAAATAATCTAATTAAATGGCTAGACACATTTGATTTACTAACTCCTCATTTAACAGCAGAAGACATAAGTGATGGTGTAGCCTTAGCAGATGCCTTGGCTCAAATTGCCCCAGAATGGTTTACTGCTGCTTGGAGGGCAAAAATTAAAACTGATGTCAGTTCAAACTGGCGGCTCAAAGTTAGTAACCTTAAAAAAATAGTTGAAGCTGTAATGGAATATTATGTAGAATGTTTAAATCAACCGTTATCGGGTTATATTAAACCTGATGCAACTAAAATTGGTGAACACTGTGATAACCATGAACTACGTCGTCTGTTGCAATTAATACTTGGGTGTGCAGTTAATTGCAATCAAAAACAGCAATATATTACAAGAATTATGGGTATGGAAGAGACTGTTCAACAAGCAATTATGCAAAGTATTCAAGAATTGGAGAGTAATATGCATGGACCAAGATTAAGTTTAGGCACTAGTCTTAATTTTGAATCTTTAGATGTTGCTGATGGTACTCAACAAAGACTATTAGCAGAACTTCAATTGAATGTTGATATGAAAGAACAATTGGCACAAAAGTGTCATGAGCTTGATCAACAGCTTTCACTATTACAGGAAGAGAAAGCAGCATTAGTAGCAGAAAATAAGAAACTTCAAGAACGGTTAGATGAATTTGAAAATCCAGAGGAAACTGGTTCCATTTTGAAGTATTCTGGTCTTAGGAAACAAGTAGAAGCATTGAAAGATGAATTATTCAAGGTAGAAACTTCTAGAGATGACTATAGATTAAAGGTGGAATTATTAGAAAAAGAGGTATTAGAATTACAGTCTAGACAAGAAGATTTGCAAAAAGCAGCAGAGGAAGCCAATCATCTAAAAGATGAAATAGATGCATTAAGAGAGACTGCAGATAAGGTAGCCAAGTATGAACTTACAATAGAATCATACAAAAAGAAAATGGAAGACTTGAGCGATTTAAGAAGACAAGTTAAAATATTGGAAGATAAAAATTTAGAATATCTACAATCCAAGATAGATTATGAAGAAGAGTCTAAACGGACTACAATGCTAAGAAATCATTTAGAAGTTTGTAAACAGCAACTTGCTGAAGCACATCATAAGTTAGATGAACAAACTAATAAGTGTGATAAACTTGAATTTGAAGGGAAAAAAATGGAAACCAAATTAAACACTTTACAAAGGGAGAGGGATAGATTGATTGTGGAAAGAGATGCTTTAAAAGAAACAAATGAGGAATTGAAATGTACACAATTACAGGCTGCAGAAAATATGACAAAACCTAGTACTGAGAGTACTGTTACAAATACAGAAATGATACCACTTGAAATTAAAGAAAAGTTATTATTTCTGCAACATGAGAATAAAATGTTGAAGCTTAAGCAGAAGGGTAACGAAGGCGAAGACAAGTTACCAACGGTTCAAGCATTATTAGAAGATTCAGAAGAAAGATTAAATGCACTCAGAGTTCAAAATCGTAAAGCAAATCAAAAAATAATTGAATTAGAAAATCGCTTGGAAGAAGTATCGGGAAATCATGCAAATGGTGATACTAAAACTGATAATAGTAATTTAGGGCAAAAGATAACAAACTTGCAAGATGAATTAAGAAGGGTACAAGCTGAAAAGGAACGTTTGATTTTACAAGTTGAAGAACGAGAAAACGCGCTACAGGCTCAGAAACAAAAGGCCTTTACTCTTCAAGAAAAATTAACGCGTCGAGAATATGATAATGCGGCGCTTGAAGAACGTTATAAAAAATATGTAGAAAAAGCAAAAAGCGTCATAAAAAGTTTAGATCCTAAACAAAACAATTCATCTCCAAATGAAGTAGCTGTTTTAAGAAATCAAATTTTAGAACAACGTAAAATTATGGAGGATATGGAACGATCTTTTAAGGAATCTAAATTAATTACAGAGATGGAAGAAAAATTAATATTATCTGCTTTTTATCGTTTAGGTTTAACTTGTCATAGAGAAGCAATAGATCAGCGTCTTGCTGCTCTAAGTTCTGGTCAGGGACAGTCTTTTTTAGCAAGACAAAGACAACCGTCCGCTAGACGTCATCCGCCTTATAATTCTAAGTAAGAACTAATAAAAAGATTATATTCGCTGATTTTATTTAAAAATATGATAATTATACTAATAACAATAATTAAAAATATGTTAACATAACAACCTAATTAATTTTTATTTATTTTAAAATGTAATGTATAATTCACGATTCTTTTAATTATTGACGGAATATTTTAATATACAATTTCACAAATGTACATGCAATATTATAAATATAATAATTTAATGTATATACTGTACATGTACATTACTTATTATTATGCTTTTAGCAGATATTAAATATTTGTACATATGTATTGTGTGAACATTAATATGTACTTTTATGTCTCTACTTACTTTAAAGAAATATATTTAAAAAAACATGCTTGTAATATTTATTTAATATGTACCGTGTATTATTTATTTAAACTGTTTTTAATATATACATTACTTAAATATTTGGTGAATGCATTCTTTCAAGTGCAATTTCTCTTTTATGATGTAACTTATCTATATAATTTGATTGTCTACTATTTTGTATCGTAGACTTCATATTTTGCATTTTCCTTACTTTTTGTATGTCAGAATAACATCTTTGATAATAAAATATTGCATTAAGAAAATCCCATACATTAAATTCTGGCCATAATATATTGGTAAAATAAATGCATGTACTTGATATCTGAAATGTATTATATCACATCAATTTATAAAAAAAAAGTAGATTAATTTTTAAACTTACTTGCCACATAAGAAAATCACTGAATCTGACTTCTCCCGAAGTACGAATTAATAAATCTGGATTTGGTGAATTATTAGTGTACAAACAATTGGAAATAAGATCTTCATCGATATCTTCTGAAAGAATATCACCAGTTTGGACACCTTCAATTACATCTTTAATAGCACGTGTAATTTCATCTCTTGCTAAAACATTATATGATAAAATTAACTTTATCTTCTGTTATGATAATGCTATAAAACTGAATGTGATATAAGTATGGCTTAAATTTTTAACATACACAAGAGTACCTTATACATATACTTACATGTATAAGCAAATGCAATATTGAGAAATGCTTTATTATGTTCTTTGGTAAAAATCATAGTTTCTGCTATTAATTCTTGTAGTTTTAGAGGTAGTAATGATAAGTTACCAATTATACGAACCCGCAATCCATATTTTCTTATTTTATCCCTAAATTAAAATATTTATTATATCCTACAACTGTAATTTCTTCATAACTCCATATGATTTTCAACATACTTTTCACCTAATAAGCTGTGAAATTTCTCTTCTGCAAGATTTAAAAGCCCTTTTACTTCTTCTTCTTGTCTTTTAAAATTCTCAATGCTAAACGCATAAAATGTTACTTCCTGTATACCAAGATCTTTACACCATTGTAAAGTTTCAGCAAATTTATCAAATCTTGTAATATATAATATTATGTAGTGCAAAACAAAATAATATAAGAATAAAATGTAAAAATTATAATTATTTGTTTTAGTAATACACACCCTTTTGAATGCCCATCTAATTTTTCCATTCCATTCTTACTTGCATAACGTCTATTACCATCCATTATAAATGCTACATGTTTAGGAATATGGCCAGTGCTTAAAATTTTCATAAGCAACAGTTGAAACCAATTTAAAGTACTATCTTTTATCCATGACATTGTTTACAAATAATTAAATACAATGGTTACATATATCAAAATCTTATTTTTTTTCGTAAGGTTTAACAAATAATGTTTAAATTTATTGGCATAATTCTCGTATTCAATTTACATAATGATTTTTATATTAGTTTAAAATTTTTAATATTTATAAATACTTTCGTGTCATTTTATATAATATAATACAATATAAAGTCGGATTTATTATATAATAATATGTATATAAATCCACAGAAGATTATGGTAAAATTGTAATAACACGAATGTTAAATATTACCTTGTTACATATTACAGTTTATGTGAAAAAACGTAAAATCATTATCCTATTGACACGTCGACATTTAACCCTATTACAAATTTCAAACATTTACATATTATCTCTAAAAATTGTAGGAATGTAATAATACATATCGTTCGTTTATATAATGTATATGTTATTATATTTGTTTACAAAAATTGACAATTATTACAGAAATACAAATTCTTGAAAAAAATTATATACGTAGTACTTCATACATACATATATGTATGTATACACATATCGTTACACATCGATATTTCGAGTTTATTCGAGTTACCTAGCGTCCATCTTGAAGTTTAGCTTTTGTGAAAAAATGCATTTTATGTTTTTATTCATCCTAAATATATGTAAGTATTTAAATAGTTGTAATAATAAATAATGGGAATTTAATAATTTGCAGTATTTATTTAAAACGATTATGGATGTAGCTTAATCTTATTATTGATAAAAATTTCTGTATTATATCACGTTACAAAATGGATACAAAATTATCACAATACTGAAACACTTGCACCATTGAAATTGAAACATTAGTATATTTAATTTATGGAATAAAGTGATTTATATAAAAGTTTAATGTAAAATAGATGGTTATATAAGAATAATAATGCTTTTTCATTAATTACAATTTTCTTGGTTGTTGACCGTACTTTAATTTAATCGTTTTAGAATCACAAACATTTCTTTTGGGTACAAGTTCCTTTAAATTCAATTAGATGGACTATAATTTAATTATTCATTAATGTTTATCGATGTATAACAATAACAATTATGACAAATTTCATTTTGCTACTCACTTTGCTTCATGCTATTTTTAAAATCAAAATTATATACTTTTTTCATGTTTCTTGTAACAGCGGTTTTCGGTCACTCTATTTTTAATTTCAAATGTACCGCGTGAAATGGTGCAGATACTGTTCACAAATATGTTTTATAGTGATTTAAATTTGTTAACCCATAGTAACCGTAGAATACAACAGTACCATTAAAACTAGTCATCTTATTTTGTTTTCTATTAAATTATTAAAGAAAGGAATAGGGTAGCTCATTGCTTCGAAGACATACATACAAGTTGAAATAAAGTTCCTCAAGGTTCTAAGGAAGCAAGTTACGCTCCTGAATAATACGGTACGTTGTGTCGACAATCGGGTATGGGGGGGACTACTTTCCGTTGAGGAGGTGAGCGTGCGTGTGCGTCTCGCGGTCGAGACCTCGCAAGAGAGAAAATGAAATCTGAAATGGTTACTGCCGCGCTATGACCCTAAAAAGTAAATGTTTCTCTTTGTCTGTGAGTGAATAATGAACGATTGGTCAGGCAAAATGGAGGGCAGCGGGTCCAAAAACGAGACTGCAATTGCACCAGGTAAAGAATGAGAGCGATAAGCGCCTTTACCATCCGCAACGAAGCGAGGCGTGCGGTTCGTTCCTAAGCAACATTATTTCTTACAGAGCTGTACTTCCTAATTGCCAAATTCTTAGCGGCGGGACCTTGTTGTGAAGCCGCTGACGTAAGTATTATCGAATAAAAAGTTGTAAAATTTTGTTGAAATGTATCGTAACGATAAGGTACATTCTAGGTGCTGAAGCGTGAATTGGAGCGAGCTAAGGTAAGACGATTGGTCTGAGTTGACGTTTTGCCGGGGTGACACTATACATACCCATCGGCTCCACATGGTTTGCACGTGGTTTCTGCTTGTCAAAACATTAGAATTTCAAGGTCGGCGACCTTGATATTCGACAAATTCTGCCAATTTTATCTCGAACGTAATTGATCGATCAATCGACTTATTTTTATGATTTTTGATTTTTTTCGTAGGTTTTGCCGCAAAGAATAGATTGGGAAGGGCATGTACATAATCAAACGTTTGAAGAGTTGGTAAGTAAATTAATTGTTTAAAAGAATTTCATTTAGCATATATTGCACATGATATAATAAATAGGCAATTTTTTTGAATAATATCATGGCAAATTTTATCTTGCTGCGTTGTAAAATATTTGACAAATATCAGTCTCTAAGATGTACCCCGAATAGGGTGCTACCCCCTATTCTGTCCCACTCCTCAACCCTTCCCCTCCACTGTGCTTTTATACTGCTGTTGCACAAGTTTCCCCCACTACTTTACTTTCAACCAATCAGCGATAACTTCCGGCCATCTTGGATGAACTGATCAATGAATATATCTTATACTCAGACCTTATTTATAGAAACTAGTGTTGTGCGTGACGGGTGGGCTGTTCAGATTGGTCGTATTTGCTTATTTGCTCTCTGATTGGTTACAAATAGGAACTACTTTAGATCACTTAAATTTGAATGATTGGCGCGAATCGATATTGGAATTTTATATCTTTTTATCAATATTTGTAACAGATACAAGTAACCAAAAATGTTTTTAAATACACACTGATATTATTTATGTACCGAATGAGATGAGGAATAAAAAGTATAATTACAAATTTGCAGGAGAAAAAGTATTCACATATTGGACCAAATCATTTGTTACAAATATGTGCCAGAATTGGTCCAGTATTAGAAAAAGAAGTACCACCATGTATACCAGGGGCAATATCTCTTCTTGGTGTAGGAAGACAATCTTTGTTACGTACATACGAAGGTGAGATTAAATACATAAACTATCCTGAAATATATGCACAAGTGACTTTAAATATTTAATGAAATTATTGTTATAGATGTCCAGCGCCAGGTACATCGAATCATTTCTTATTCTGGCAGGATAGGTGGAAAACCTTTTATGAAATCACCTTATAGTTTATCAGTGCCTAATATAGGTGAATTAAATGTTATATTTTTAAAATTCAATGAACTACGATTTTGAGTACTTTTATTAATGTTACACTATCTTACCTTTGCTTTTTTTTATAGTATATGTGCTTCAAGGACGGGAAAATTCAGGATCTTTGAGTCGGCGGGAAGCAATACCAACAAAATTCTACAACAAAATGCAGTTGTATCGACATACGTTAGGACATTTATCTGCAGTATATTGTGTTCTTTTCGATCGTACTGGAAAATATATAATAACTGGTGCAGATGACTTACTTGTTAAAGTATGGAGTTCCATTGATGGACGATTATTAGCTACTTTCCGAGGAGCATCAGCTGAAATTATGG